AGAGCAGTGACAATTCCACCATTTGGTCCTAATCCATATTGTTTCATAACTGCCTTATAATCTACTGTGTCTCTTATATCTGAAAGGAGTAACAAAAAACTTGATCTCGACTGCAGAATACTTATTGTAAAATGTTTGTACTCTGTAATAATTCCAACAATAAAATATAAAAATAAATCCGATTACAAGTCTAAAATTTATAAAAAACTATGTTTACAATATAGATGTTATAATGTTATTTCATATTTCTTTATATGATGAGAGATTTATATTCAACATCGAGAATATTGAGGTAAGTTTATAAGTTATGGTTGTAAAATCTTTATATATGTTGCAACTTTTAAAAAAATGTACACAGAAACATTTATATACAATTTATTTATTTGCACCGACAAAGTTACAAGATACAAAACGAAAACGAGATAAGCTGATTAAAGCTGTTTTATTTCTCAGCGATATGATTACAGGAACCCAAGTGAGTAAATAAAGGAGCTTACCTATATTAGCTGGATATGGCACTTCTCGACAAGCCGGGTCTAAATTTATTAAATAGGGCCTTGCACCATTAATGACTTTTCCTGCTAATCGTCTTGTAAACGACGTTTTACCCGCTCCTGCCATGCCTTTAAGTTTTAAAAATATAATCATAAATACTGTAATAACTTACCACAAATTTACACTAGAATATATAAAAACAAGCAATCTAACCTAAAATTATTAAGCACACAGGCTTTTTGGCCTCTTCCTCCATTTTTTAAAGATCTTTATATAGTATTTCTCACTAATTCAATTATACTATAAACTATACAACGGTTTCAAAATTGATAAAAATTAATTTTGAATATAGCTTCTAAATTTCGTTGCTTGTAATTTGTTTTCGTAAATATTCTCGAAGTGTCTAATTTGATTGATATTTTATTATACATATTACTTTTTACAAGTACTTGTCAGTTGTCAATGACAATTCACCAAGGCGAAAGCTGTCCACAGCTGCAGTCAACATTATATGAGTATGCACTTCAATTTACAAAGTAACATTAGCTAGACTAAATTTGAGAATTGTAATAGCTCGGCAATATTTTTTTTATTGTTATGTGTGTAGATACAAAAGGAATCCACTCGTAACCCAAGTTCCCAAATACTTGTATTGCCGCACTTGTTCCAGCGTCTTTCCACCTTTAGATAGATTAAGCGTTAATGACGTGTCCTTTCGAGAAATGACTGATACCTTCGTGTTTACTGCATGAATAGTCAGACCAGTGGCGTAACAATAGGGTGGCAGGGCTAGCAAAATGCCACGGGCCCCCAACCCAAGAGTGCCCCTGCCCAAGAGATATTACGTTCTATGGAAGAATGTGAAATCTCCAATAAGCGTTGGGCTAGCGTGGGGACTACAGAGCACTCCCTCTCGCCTAAGAGAGGACACCTATGGCCATTAGTCGGACATATACAACGTGCAATTGAGTACACTGAAAATCTCGAAGTTTATTAAAATTAAACTAATACAACGTGACGATTTTTACTGATAGGGCCCATCAAAAGAATTGCCACGAAAGAAGATTTGACACGGGCCCCAAATGGTATAGTTACGTCACTGAGTCAGGCCGTCTCTTACGCTAGTTTTATAAACTCTATTAACAACAGTGGCAGATTTACTCGCAAGCTGAGTTGGCTGAAGCCTAGGGCGGAAGATTTTTAGGGCGGCAAATTTGGGAACCGACTTTTTTTCTACCTCATAGAAATCAAAAAGATTTCTGCATGACAGTTTTCTGATGTTTTACAGATCGACCTCTGCGCCATCAGCTCACATTTTGTACGAGTGAAAAGATCGAAATTTCAGAAAGCTTATTTCCCTCTTCCCCCTATCCACCAATACGAGTCAGTCCTACTACAGGTGGGTGGCTGCGAACTAGATGGTTTTTTGTTATAATTTTGTGCTCAACAATCAAACCCAAAAATTATTTTACGTGCAATGAAATTGTTGGATTCTAAAAATAATCTAGGAGAAAACTTCACAGCCTATAGGTTCCTTGAAAATTTGTAAATTCGCCTCTGATTAACAAGCATTTATTTATTCCATCAGTTTCCTCGTGTGCTTTCACGGTTACTTTTTGGTCTTTGTTTCAGATCATTCTTATATCCTTCTCATGGAGATTGGTGTTAATTAAACGATTTATGAAAATGTCTTGCTTACCCCTGTCAAAAGCTTTCTATTAAGCATAGGAAGATATCATTCCGCATTAAGACATTTAAACGGGAACTGGTGATCTTCTCTCCAACTTATTTCTTATTCTGTTATGTATGAAGTCGATTTAACACACAGCCTTCAGTTACACATACAAACATACACACGCACTCTCTCTCTCATATTAGTGTTATGTCAGTAAACCGTCTGATTGGCGTTTTGATTTAAATATTATTTTGTATTATAGTTAAGTAAGCTGTATGGTTTATCTAAATAAATATAAATAAAAAACAGAAGTATTTCCAGGCACTTTATTAACATACTGTGTACTCTTAATCTAGGTTAACTGCGAGTCTTTATCGAGATTTAGAAACATTATTGGATACATATGACCCAAAGTTGATATTCGTTTTTGTAAAATGATCCGTAATGAGTCTGTGTACGTCGTTGGAGGCTTGCATGTTGACGGATCGCGCCAATGTAGTCCTGAAAGAAGGAAATATCAAATAGTACCAACATTAACATTTGTATGTCAGTGTCATTCTGATCAAACTTTATTCAAGAGCTGTCAAAACATTTTTTCTGAAGTTTGATATATTTGATAGCGATGCCATTATGTAAACATTGTATAAATTAATTTTTGTACACTAGCTGCCACCGCGAACTGTGTTTCGCGATGATTTCTTTACTTAGTCTACCGTTTTAGTAGCTACATACCAACATGTATGTTTGACCTGGGCTAATCATATAAAAGCCAAGAAAACAGAAGCCACCTTGAAATTCAAAGAGCTATCCTGGCTTCTAGGCCAGCAATCTAGACTGACCCTGAGTAACAAATTGCTTGTTTACAAGGCCATCATACAACCAGTCTGGACATATGGAATAGAACTCTGGGGCTGTACAAGCAATTCCAACATCGAAATCCTTCAAAGAAATCAAAACATTGCACTGAGAACCATTTCAAGTACACAATAGTTTGTGAGAAACACGGAAATACACGAATATCTGGAGATGCCAACCGTAAAGGAAGTAATCCGCAAAAATAGTAGATACAGGGAAAGGTTAACCAAACATACAAATGAACTGGCTAAGAATCTGTTAACCCCAGGAGATGATGTAACTCGCCTAAAAAGATGGCAAATACTAGACCTAGACCAGAGAAACTGACCTAAAATAAAAATCCAATTTCTACCAACACATACGGTGCCTTTCAATGGAATCGCACCCAACCAAAATCAACCTCAGAAAATATCTGATTATGGCTGATAGCCGATTGCAGATGAACAAGAACACAAAAAAAAAAAAAAAATACCAACATGTGGAACAAGAATAAGTACTGAATACATTTTTTTTTTTTTTTCATTTTTGTCTCTATAAAAAACTTCCTCAGAGAATATTCCTTCCTGTTCAAGGGATAAATAAAAAAAACTCGAATTGGTCTTCGAGTTTTTCGCAACATATTTTGTGATTATTTTTTATTAATTTGGATTACCTGTAGAGTCGCAAGTGAATAAGGCAGGTGAGGGGACATGATCCCTTGTGTAATTCCATAAACAGTCCCGCAATACTTGGACAAGCTGAAAAAAAATAAAGTGTGTATTTATATTGAAAATTATTATTTTATTATGGCTATACAGTCAAAACCGTTTACGACGACATAGTTTAAAACAACATACCGGTTATATTGACCAAAATCAAAGGTCCCGGTTGAATTCTATTGTATTAGGTACTTAATAACAACGTCATCGGTTGTTACGACTATCGGTTTTTACGACCAAATATGAGTAGTCCCTTCTATGTCGTGATAACAGATTTTGACTGTATTTAGAATTGGTACAATAAATAAAATATTCATAATTTAAAATGTGAACAAGTATGAGTTTGATCGAAAATTTTAAAAATTCCTTTATTTAGAATAAATTTTTCTACCCGTGGTTGCATGTGCGAGATTTAAAAAAAAACTAAAAGAAATTAGAAAAAACGTGAAAAACTTCTTACTTCGTTGGCTGTGAGTTCTGGAGCCAATTCGAGTATATGACACAATGGGTGTGGCAGCAATTGTCCCAAAGTCATCGTACTCAACAGTTCAGTCAGAGCTGATAGCTCCCGACTAAGTTCCGGGGATTGTGTGTGACGATCTGCGAATAATTTTTTTAATTTGTAAAAAAAAAACGTAATTATAAGTTGAGTTGTGTACTCTCTTACCAGAACAGGGATATGCTAGCTCACTGCCAAAGAGCCATGGAAAGAAACATGCTGAGCATAAGAAAATTAGACAAACAAATAAACGCAGACATAAGAGCTAAAACAGGTATGACATTCGCACTCGGATAGACTAATGAAATGGAGATGGACGGGTCGTATGCTACGGAGCTCCCATGAAAAATGGAGCAAAATTTTGACGGAATGGTACCCTAGAGACGGAAAACGAAGAAGAGGCCGACCTCGCACGAGATGGGCGGACGAACTGAAACTAACAGCAGGCTACAACTGGAGAAGAGTCGCAAAAGATAGAGAACAGTGGAAAAGGTTAGAGGAGGCCTTTGCCAAGAGGCACACCGAACTCCGAGATGTGGAGTGAAAATATATTAAAGTTCATATATATTTAAAATCAAAGAGTTTCGAAATTTAAAGGCTATATTATAAGTTTTAATTATACTTTTGAAAATAAAAAATCTTTCGGAACAACTTTTATCAATTAAATTTATTAAATAATTTTACATTTAGCGTCCATTCTCGTCAATTGTCTAATAAAGTTAAGCCGTCAAAAGTGTCAATATCAAAACCATAGACATTAAATAAACTTACTACAGTTAAATGTTATTGATTTCTTGTAATTGTGACTCAAATCTTTTGACACATTAAAACATATGATTGTTCAATGCACACGATGTATGCTTGCGGTGCCTACATCATTCCGTGTTTATTGTATATTTTATATATTTATTTTAACATATCTCACCGGAGTGTCAGGACTATTTATGGCTATGACTAAATAAAGTTATATAATAATTTAGGGACATTAAAACCCTGAATGTGCCTTAATCACAGATTGCATCCGTTTCGTTTTTCAAAAAGTTATAGTTTATATAACATATATAAAAATGAATTCGGTTCGTTTGTCTCGCTAAAATCTCAAGAATGCCTGGACCAATTTGGCTAATGATGATCTTGAAATATTTTTGGAAGTTCAGAGAAGGTTTAAACATGTTCACATATATATATATATATATTGTATTTATGACATGTGTACAGGACGACTTTTGTCGGGACCGCTAGTTTTTAATATATTAATAATGAGCTTTAATACAAAAATATTCAGTATTTAAATGTCTTACCGAGATGTGCCCTCAACCTATGTAAAAGCGTAGCAGCAGAGGCCCTCAAAAGCGCCGAGGAAAGACAAAGGGCAGGCCTAGCGAGGGCCACTCGTCTAAGAGCCGCCCGCGCAACCGCGCAACGCTCCACTGCGCCGCGCATGTATAGTTCCCGTTCTATACTTACTTGCTGAAATATATATTCATACAGAGGAATTGTTTTATACATTCGAGAACCGAACCTGCTAAATCCAACAGGTTTTTTTTCAAATCCAAGAGATTTAAAATCAGAATTAACAAGTTTAATGAAAAAAAAATTTTTTTTTAACAAAAACTAAGTTGAATTTAAAAAAGTTTTCGTGATTTTTCATTAAGGGTATTTTCTGGTGGTGTTTAATTTTCACTATGAGCAGTGTTGTCCTAGTGCGAGCAACGTGCGTGCATCCCTGAGGTCGTAGGTTCGATCCCCGGCTGTGTACCAATGGACTTTCTAAATGATGATCATGAACCAGATACAGAAATGTGAGGCTTCACATACTTTTTTTTTCCACTCAGTATTATAGGTATTTAAAAAATTCTAATCAAAAACCATATTAACGAAAAGATACCTTAGTAAAGTCTTCATCGGGCCAAGGCAAACCGTTGTACATAACATCTGGCGACACTAATTCAACTAATAATAATGATACGGAAGTGGCTCCCTCTACTATACCACTATTGCCATCCTGAAAAAAAACAATTCCCCAAAATTTAATTGTATTTTAATTTACGGAGCACAACGAAAATAAATAGAATCATAGTCACGAATTATTTTTTATAAAAAAATTACAGAAAAATCAAATATCAAACATACGAAAAAACGGACTATAAAAAATTGTTTATGGTAAGTTTTTAAAAAAATGTTTATGGTAAGTTTCGCGAAATAAGAACTTGAAAAAAAAATTGTTTATGGTAAGTTTCACGAAAAATAAATTAGTTTGTAGTAAGTGTCTGAAAAGAAAAGTAAAAAAAATGTTTATGGTAAGTTTGTGAAAAAATAACTTACATTCATAGCCATTTCCAATCCTATTGACGCAAATTTCAGTTCAAATTCTTTATATATCATGTACATAGACGATAGAATACCAAAGATCTGCCTTGCGATTCTGTATCTCAAATGAGTCGTGAGCGGAATCCGCTGTGAGAATTTGAAGAGTGAGATACAGAATCGCAAGGCTGTACAATCAAAGCATGCAAAATGTCAAAAGTCTCACCATACAAGACATAAGCGCCCCCATCAGCAGTTCATTGTTAGTCGTGAGTATTGGCGGGATCCCATCGTCTCCGCCTCTATGTTTGCGCACACCCGAGCCGATCACGCCCGCGTGGAACACGGACGTATGGCTTTGGGTGAGTTGTGTTATTGGGCCCTGGGAAAACGGATTGTTAAGTCAAACGGACGTTTAACGATTGTACAGGTCCAATATAAAAAGACCTATGCAAGGTAGGCGCGCTACTGGATTATTATAGACATAACATTTATTACTAACAAAAACACACACACATATACACACAAAATAACAATAGTCAAAGAAAAAATAAAATAAAAAAATATAATGAGAGATAAAAAAAAGTTTTTTTCCTTTTCCCATTCGGTTCGTTTCAAGTGTGTAATGCGTGTGTGCTGTGGCGGTAATGGCCCTGCTGTATGTTATAAAATTCGTGTTCCTACTTGTCTTGTTCGTGTTCTACGAGAATACTCCTACAACGCGGTCCGGGTCAACCGCGTTATAGGGGGATTACTATACCGGGTAATACCACTCGTAATTGCTACGAATCGTAGATTTACACAGCCATCAAACGAGTTACTAAGTATTTAACAACTTACATGTTTCTGATTCATATAAATCAACAAATCATCATTGGTCCATTCCTTGGATGCAGATAGAAGATTTGGTATCACTGGTTTACTCCCGAAAATCTTGTCTTCTCTAAACATTGCGGTCTCAAGTAAATCTCTCAACGCCACGGCTCTGGCCAATTTGCTGTGTAGGCATAATTTCCGAAGAAGCCTACTCGCCGTTTGGACGCCGCGGAGTTTCGCCATAATGTCTAAAATAAATAAGGGAGCGTTCAAGTATTACGTCACGCAAATTTTGGAGATTATTGACACCCCCCCCATGTAACGCGCCGTAACGTTTTTCTGTTCCCAAGTATAGTAAAACGTTTCGTGACCACCTTGTAACTTTTTATACCTAAAAGTTACCATTATGTGGTGTAAGGAACTGGAAAGTCGACAATAACGCGTAAATCAATCCCCGCCCCGCATCGTAACGTTTTACAAAATAAAATCTAGAGTCTATTAAAAATCTCTTAATTCTCGTAAATTTAGAATCAATTCAACATCTTTTCTGTTGACGTTCATAAGTGTACGACTTTTTGTGTCTTAGACATGTCGGTTTCCTCACGATGTTTTCCTTTACCGTTCGAACGAATGTTAATTGCGCACATAGAAATAAAGTCCATTGGTGCACAGCCGGGGATCGAACCTACGACCTAAGGGATGAGAGTAGCACGCTAAAGCCACTAGTCTAACATTTCTCTCTGCTCTATGATGATGATTATTATTATTATGTATTTAAAACACCTAAGCTATACTGACCCTCTTCGTGCAAACACCTAAAGAAATATTTAACAACGGCTTGAACAACCTTCAGTATGACCTCAACACTGGGTGGAGGTGACTTTGTACCAGACATGTCAACTCTATCCAGGACCTGGAAATCATTTCAAGTAAATAATAATACATAAATTAACCCCAATTGACCCCAGAACTGGTACTTTCCTTGCTCAATTAATAAGTAAAGCAATACATAAATTAACCCTAATTGACCCCAGAACTGGTACTTTCCTTGCTCAATTAATAAGTATCGCAATACATAAATTAACCCTAATTGACCCCAGAACTGGTACTTTCCTAGCTCAACCAATAAATATCGCAATACATAAATTAACCCTAATTGACCCCAGAACTGGTACTTTCTTTGCTCAATGAATAAGTATCGCAATACATAAATTAGCCCAATTGACCCCAGAACTGGTACTTTCCTTGCCCAATTAATAAATAAAGCAAACACATAAATTAACCCCAATTGACCCCAGAACTGGTACTTTCCTTGCTCAATTAATAAGTATCGCAATACATAAATTAACCCTAATTGACCCCAGAACTGGTACTTTCCTAGCTCAACCAATAAATATCGCAATACATAAATTAACTCTAATTGACCCCAGAACTGGTGCTTTCCTTGCTCAATGAATAAGTATCGCAATACATAAATTAACCCCAATTGACCCCAGAACTGGTACTTTCCTCGCTCAACGAATAAGTATCGCAGTACATAAATTAACCCCAATTGACCCCAGAACTGGTACTTTCCTCGCTCAACGAATAAGTATCGCAATACGTGAGGAAATGCTGCCAGCATTAATGGTACACTGCTACATGGACCAAACTTTTTAATTTTCTTTTTAATAATTTTATTATTAGATACTATATAGATTAAGACAATTGTAAATACTGTATAATTGATTGCTATGTTTAGTGACATAATTAATGAAAATGAGATTTAAAAAAACATACATTTCAATAAGGGTTATAAATAATCATTTATTTTTTTTAACTAATGAAATATATTTAGATATAATAAAAAAAACAAAACTCCATCATCAGAGGTACTCAGTGGTATATGAAATTAGCTATAGTCCAGTCATTACAGCACGTTCACCTCGGAATTCGAGATACGCAGCTGTTAGTCTGTAAATACTTGTATATTGACACCCTAAAAGTTGTCCCAAAACCTACATATGGTAGGGTTAACGCAACTATAAAATTTCAAGGTCAATTTTGATAATAAATACAAATAGCAAAAAACCCATAGGAAATGAGATATTTACAAAAAAAGCGCAAAAATCCGATTTTTGTGACCTTTGACCTTTGTTTGAATTTCAAAACTGCATTAAATTCGATCCATTCGATTAGGAGCTATGATGCCACAGATACACATTTATAAAAGACGATGTTCTTAAATATTCATAAATTAAATCATATAATAAATAGTTAGTCAATACCTGCGCAAGCGCATGACAAGTAGGCATTTCTGGTAACGCGGTGACAGTACATTCCATTCGTGGTTGGAGTATACACGAATATCGTTGTAGCGCAGCTCCAATTCGATACAAATTTCCTTCCACTGCCCGACATATACTGCGCGTGCGCAACGCTGATACACGATTTGAATTTTCCCATCTAGAATTGAATAAACAAAGTGATGTTTATTGTTACATATAAAAGCATGAATTTTTTTTCTAATTCACACTAATAATATTCAGATTAATAATTAAAAAAAAACATTAGATATAAAATATATATACTATAATCTAATATTTTACTGCATGATATGTGGGCTTATAACTTATTCCCCTACAACCCTTAGTCTTGGCCTCATATATCTGTTTCGTGATTATTTCTTTCTTAATAGAAAAGTAGGTTATCAGCCATCTGTGCCTGACATTACATTACAACATTACACGAAACATACAGACACCTGAGGCCGAGAACTAAATTTTTTTAGGATTGATTGTTGTTTAAACAATCATAATCGTTTCATATTTTTTCATTGTAGGGGGCAAACGGGCAGGAGACTCACCTGATGTTAAGTGATACCGCCGCCCATGGACACTCAGTGCCTGGGGGCTCGCCAGTTCGTTGCCGGCCTTTTAAGAAGGTACGCTCTTTTATTGAAGGACCCTAAGTCGAATTGGTTCGGAAATACTTTAGTGGGCAGCTCAGTCCAGGGCTTAGTGGCCACGTGTAGCTGCCTTAAGAAACGGTCAGTTGTGGAACGCCGGCCGTCGAGTTGGTAAACATACTATAAACGTCAATCAGTTAAGATCTTGTCTATCAGCGACTCGAAGGTAATAAAGACAAAATATTTGAGGTTGTCATTCCTTCACAAATTCACAAAAGCAACGCCCTCAATGTGTCTATGGGCAGCGGTGTCACTTGTCAAGTGAGCCTCATATCCGACTGCACCCCGTTATTTTAAAAAAACGTGTGTGTACTTATGTATACGCGTTAGAATTTAATTTCATTGGCGTAACAAGATAAAAAAAAATTCAAATATTTTATTCTGTTTGTAGAAAAACCGACACTTACAACAGAAAAAAACAGAACAGAAAAATAGCTAAATTCAGGGTGTCAGTTTTTTGTGACGGTGTGCGCGCATCGTAAAAATTTACCCTCATCATTTTTCCCTAACGCGCCATAAGAAGATGCAATAATTTGAGACAACAATTCCTTACCTTAACAATTTAACGATATTCAAACAAAACTGATGCATGTATGTGTCCTGTCCCTCTGGCACTCTATCCTCTATGAAACACCTTTTAATCTGCTGATCTGACAGCACAGCATCCCTCAACGCATACTCGATTCCCGATTTAATGAAATTCTGATATCTCTCCGTGTCCATATTAATATCGGTCGAGTCGTTAGGTGTATGCATCGTAATCGTACCAGATATAATACGCACTAATAATGCCAGGGTAGCATCAGTTTTTGAATATTGTAGGAGATAGGCGATTGTACTAATGAATTCTGACGGCTGGTTGTAACCTTAAATAAAATTAATAAGACGATTTTATTGGAACTCACGATCTGATTACGTTTCTATTCCGTTAAACGTAAATAATGAATAAAGCTTTTTGTAAGTTTGACGATTATTTAAATGATCCTAATCCTTGGGATTGATTAGCTCCAGTTTAAACAATTTGTATGACTCAAAACTTAGCGATTAAAAAGAGTGGCGGAGAGTTTCTTGCCAGTTCTTCTTGCCCGCTCTACGCGCTTGACTTGCGAACTGATAGTAAATGTTAATTTAGAATCAATTTAACATCTTTTCTGTTGACGTTCGTAAGTGTACTTGTTTACCAATATAAATAAAGTTGTTTTGAGTTTGATTTATTCGCCATCCACTCTCCATTTGCCGTCGGTTTTTGGGGCGTGAGTCAAGCAACTGATCCCGCCATTTTCAACGTCAAAAAAATCAAAGGAGTTTTTATGTTTTTTTCTACTCTTCACTTGTCAAATAAAAAAAGTATCAAAAATACTCACATACTAGTATCAATATTCGCGCTATAGAATACTGCTCCAGCTGATTTCCATCCAATAACTTTTCTCTTACAATATTTATTTCCTCCCCCGTACTTATCAAAAGCGGTACACTCCGATCCGGGAACATCACTTCATTTTCTAACTTTTGTAATAAATACTCTAAAAATATTTAATATTTAAGTATTCTTTTATTAATAATTTATTGGAACTCATCCTGTCTTATGGCAAGACTTAGTAACGATAGCGCTAAGTCTGACTCCCCTAAGTCAAATATATTGGATTTTGACATACTTATTGAAGTAAACTTCTGTAGGCGCATGAGGGTAAAATTTTTACAGATGAAACGCAATAATAATAACATTAGCGTCACGAAGATGTGCAGCGTTTTTGTCGAATAAAAGAGAATGAGCGATTGAGAGAGTGAGAAGGGAAAATTACCTTATAGAAATTCTATTTTTAAATTAAAATTTCGGAAAGAGAATTTATGACATATTAGTATTTTATATTTTATGCAAAAAAATATATTGAAACCTCAAATGACGAATTGTAAATTCGCCTTTAGTACACCTACGCGTTCGTATGCGGCTGCGAATCTTTGCGAAATAATTGCGGTAGCGAAATATCTGCGGAACGTTAGTACACTGCAGGTTTTCCCCCAAGGATATGTCATTGTAGCTTTCGTGTGCTGTGGGGGCCCAGGGACGTGTTTCAGAATGTCATCTGAGTCGTCCCAGTTCGCTTTCAGATTCTGAAGAGGATTTTGTAATCCAACATGCCCAACTAAATATAATTCGGGATATTTTCGAATCAAATTCAATAATAATTCAATATTTTCGGCTTCCATTGTGCGAAATTCTGTCCTCACTGACAGAACTCGTGGTGACGCCTTGCGATGCGAAACTCCAGTAGCGCACGTCTGTCTTTAACCATTTCGCAGTTACTTGCGAAACAATACCGACAAGGACCAACTATTTCATCTAGCTTATTTAGGCGAGACAAAACACATGCGAAACGTTGCCATACAACTTACAGTTTTTTCGTCGTTTCGCTGCCCTGCGATTGCGTAGGTGTACTAAAGGCGTAAAATGCCACGTGCTTTTATTATCGAAGAAATAAATTTAAAAAATTGAATTTAAGTTAATTTGAAAATTTGGGAAGGTGTACTTTGTACGCACACACTTTTTTTAAATAAATTTTTAAATAAGTGTGCTAATAACAGACAAATCATAGAGATACTTTCTAACAGTTGATTATTATGTAAAATAAAAATTCCAAATAGAGCACTTAAAAATCAGTGTAATAAAAAAGATCCACCCCCGAAGACATGGGTAAGAGGTAAGATGTACTCCCGTTTGTCAAAATCCAACGCGTTTTTGACATACAAAAGTCCTACCTGTAAATCTCGACCCTGCTTCTTACCGAAATCTTAGGCCATAGATTACAGAACATGATAATGATTATAATAATTTTATTCGGCTTGCAAATGTATGTTAAACACTCACCAAGCAACTGTCGAGAAAAGAGATTTTTCTGTGCCTGTTTAAGCAATAATAGGAAACAGTGGACATCAGAGCGTAACAACAAAGTCACTAGGGAAGCCGGACCGACCCCTTCCCACGAACCACTGTGTCTATACATAGAGCATATAACGTTCAGGCGATCCATTACTTCGTCTGTCACTAAAATTATAAAAAGCATATTTTAATAAGTCAATTATTAGGTATTATAATCTGTGTATTTCTTCCCAAAGATATAAATCTATATAATAAAATTACTAATCTATGGAACAAATTTAATATTTTTTAATGATGTATTTGGTTTCATAATAAATTAATTATTTACTAGAAAACTTGACCAAAAAGAAAAACTGAAATATATAGAAAATACTTACAAGTAGCTTCAATGTCTTGGATTAACGCTTTCAGTACAATATCAGATTTTGATGCTAGATTTAGCAAATATGGAATAACATCTCGTTTCTTATCAGACTTTAGGTCTTCATCAATAGCTTCCTGGAATACATCGTTCAAAAAATTATTTCTAAAATTGCACTTTTTTTACTTATTTGACACAAAGGGACAAAAGAGTACTTTATAACACCTTTACATAGAGATTTATATAAACCTTATGGTTTTCACATTTTACTCAGCTACGACAATGCAAGATACAACACACCAATTAGATGTAAAAAATAAACAAACATAAAGGTATTTTTACCAATAAAAAAAATAAAATATGTTTATTACGGAACATAAGATACATGTATCACTTATTCCACATCATTAAATTTGAATTTGTAGGCATCCCTACTCATCGGCAAAGAAGACAGACTATAGTTTAATGGTTCCCAATAACCACACATAACAATCCCAGTTTTCAGTTCTCGCACCGTTTGGATATTAAACTAAACAATTAAAAATCTAAAAAACTTCTAAACTAATAAATCACGCAGGGAGTACAGCGCTCATTTATAAATGTATTCTTAATACATATTGTAACTGACATAAAAATAGAAATTAGAAAAATTTTGTGCTTTAAATAGAGGATTCCTTAATTAAACTTGGCACAATCAACCCAGTCATACAGATGAGTGGGGTATTCACTTACCTGGAACAAATTCACAAGTGCTCTACGGACATGGAGCAATGCCGGTGGGTGATTGGCTAAATGGGCTAGGACTGCACGAGCCGCATCAGCCCCTAGGGCAAGGGCTCTTGGAGCTACCAAAGCTGGCTCTGCTCTACCAACCCAACCTACCGCCCATGAGCAGGCACGACATCCTAAAAAAAATTAATTGTATTTTAAAGGCCCTTACACATATGTATGCTTATACAGTGAAAGTGGTTGTAGGCCCTTACAAACATTTTTGTAAAAGAAAAAACATGGCAATAAGAATGAGATTTTTGACAGTTTATCTGGTAGTATAGAAAATTTTGAAGTGTTTAATATTAGTTAATTACTGAACAATAAAATAAATATTTGTAAAATGTGACAATTAAAGGCAATTTCATAGAAAGTGTTTATCTGTTAAAGGTGTGCCACTTACGGAGCTGTAAATACTATTTTCGTTATATTTTAATTGAAGATGTAAGTATGTGTTTGTATCAAATATAATTTAGCAACCGCATATCTGCATCTGTTGTGTACATTACTTAATAACCTTAGTTAATCTGTTGTAATCATTTTTAAATGTATTGAAAATAATTTATTCAGATTCTACAGGAAACTAGTAGAACAAAACAAGCAAACTACTAAATACCAAAGATGGTGTCAGTTATTCTATATAAAAGTTAAATATCCACTATGACCATAAAAGCTAAGAATCTCTCAGTCTCTCTCAATAAGGGTATTAGACAATAAAATCTTACCTAACATCATATCAATGCATTTTGCCCTTTCTTCAGCATTGAGCAGCATTAAATTTTGAGTGGTAATGTCAAGCAGAACTCTTACTGGATCTATGTTTTGAAGAGTTGCATCTATAACACAAATGTAATTAAATTCATATAGAGCTTATGATATATCTGTTTTAACAGTTAACTACTGAAGGTTTACAATATTAAAGTATATTTGTTTATTTAATATGTTAGTGTGTATATTTATATAACTTAAAATTAATTGGAATGAATATGTCTGAAAAAGGCTTCTAGAATTTGAATATGTATTAAATATATGGACTAACTTGGCAAATTAGCTTTGTCTATTGCTATATCCATTATCAATTTTATACACCATGGAGCTATAAAGGGTGCCCATGCTTCACCAAGGCCACAGAGCTCTGGACCAATCATGCTGACAGCTTCCAATGAACCATTTGTACTTGAGTCTACCTGTTTTAAACTTAAAATGTTAATATGTACGTAAAGTAATAAAAGTATGAACTACTATTTTTTTCAAAATGTGGCATATTTTTTCGAGTATTAACGAGCTAAGGACTGAAAGTGTCGTGAAAACAATACAAATTTATTACTATAATTGTGTATCCAAAGTCGTACAAACACGATAAGGCAGTATTTATAGGAAATTTCTTACATCATAGTCCGAAGGATTGACCGCTATATTAACAGCATCATGAAAAACCATCGCGAAGTACTCTAACACAGCATCTCTAGCTGCTGGAAAAGTTTTTAACAAAGATAATGCAACTTTTGTCAACTCTGGTGAGTTTTGAAAATTTCTTCGTGAAACGCCGTAAATAAAGTTGTTCAGATCGCTGGATAAGCATGTTGATTTGCTCGGATTATTCATTTTTGAAAAATTAACCAACAATTGTGGTTAATGTTAAATTTTACTTAGATTCTAATACGTAAAGTATAAATAAACACGAACCGTCAACACGGTCTACATTATAATATTGACATGTTGACTGTTGACACCAGCTAGCTTTGAAAGCGTCATACGCCGCACAGAATAGATACAACTTAGATTGGAACTTTTTTTTTTTAATTTTATGGCGTGGTAACGAAACCTTTAAGCCAATTGGAACGTCAAAATAATACCAACGGCACTATTTGGATATTATTAGATTATCCTACAATTATTTATTATTGATGTTGTTTTATGTATTCTATTGTAATAGTTATATAACTAACAAAATTAATGAATGTTTAAAAAATAATTTTACATACATCCACAGATGCTGTATCGACATATAGTATATTATAACAAAAAGGCTTCTTTACAAAACAAAACAGATTTTCGGTACAATTCGATAAAAACATGATTTGTCAATAATATTACCTAAGATTTTATTATATTTAAGTTTAGTTAAGTTTAAATGTGTTTTAGAGCAAGAGCCCACGACGGCCAGACCTTCGTTATTTAATAAAAGCTGAAAGTTCTTCTGTGGGTGTCCCCGAACAGTTATTTATAATTGTTGACAAAACTCATGGTCTAAATACTTAAATAAAGAAATATACGTATAGGTTTCAGTATATTTAGATAGCATTGAATTGCTTCGAGATTTTTCGATAGTTAAAAGTCAACTTTCATATTTTCTTAGAATCATAAAATACTGTATGTCAGCAACGAATAGGTAAACATTTTAGACTTTAAATTTAAATAACGATATGGTATGGCAAAATCTAATATAAAAGTCTTATGTAAATCGAATCGATCGTAATGATCATAAACACCCTCTCTTATCCACATGAACTATTTCAGTCTAATTACAAGATTTTAACGAAAATACTTCTCTTTTCATCACAGCGTATACACAATTTGACAGAGACGACAGAGTGCTTTAGTAAAAAGAGGCAATTTAAATGTAGTTTTATGAATTAACTGAATATTTCCTATTCATTCTGCGTATTAGCATTGTCAAAAATAACGATTTTTGGGAAGAATTAAAATAAAAAATCAATCGTAATCTATTTATTCAGAACTATTAATACAATTCAAATATAATTCTTAATTTAAAACGCACCACAATTATTGAAAAATTAGCATATTATACTAGATTTAACACCGAATTACAAAATTCTTAAACTTCTACAATATTAGAATTCTAAAATTAAAGTATATCAATAAATTATTTAACCCGGCTCATTAAAGAAACGTATATATGGCGGCGCTAACCATGCATCACGCTTGCTCACTATGGCCTGCTCAAGCGCGAATTTCGTTTCTGTAATGAACTTGGAATGAATATTAAAAAATATTACAAAAAACAGGGTCATTGCATTACATTACTATAAATACTTTAAAGCTAAACACCGTAGCGCACACACACACACACACACATAACAAAATAATTTATAGACCAAGTTATGGGCAAGATTAATTTTGTCAAGAAATGCGTCAATGCCTTAGAATTTATATACAGCCGATAGCATATTTTCATAAAGTTTTACTACAAGGGAGGTTTAGAATTTCTAGACTGATGTAAATAGAACTCCCTAGTGTCAAATGTATGTTTGACGTATGGAAGTCATACTTAGAGCTAAGTCGCTACTACGAGCGTTACCAGAGAGTTTGAAAAGAAAACCGACCAATAATTTTATTAGTGAAATATAATTGTCGGGTTTGTATAAACGCGTGACTCAACAGTTTTTTCATATTTCATTAATGAAGCTATTTACGCTTTAATTTTAATATATTTAATTTTACAAATGTGTCTAAGCTGTGTAGAAATATTTATCCGTAAATATTCTATTCAAAGCAACTGTTACATGTTCTAGCATACAAAAGTATTTGTCCATAAATACATAGTCAAGATATTATCGTCTAAAGATATTAATAAAACCGATGCAAAACCGCAATAGCAAATTAGGCGTTGCAAAGTTCTTATGAAACTCAAAGAAAATTAGCTTTTCCTCAAAAAGAGAATGCAAAGACGCCTGTGTCCAATCAATAAACGTACATTTCAATATAAAGGGGAATATCGGCCGCAATTTGGTATCATAGTATATTATATGTCATTATAGTATATTACATTTCATATATTATGATGTCATGAATCGGTAGATAACCGAGTTTAATTTATATTTATTTTAATTAATGATTTGAGAAAGTCGTAAACGATTCGTTTGGTTGTGATTGGTCAACATCTCTCGTCCAATCACAGACCGTCATTCCGTTTGTCCAATGACAATCGTCTTCGTACTGTCTTAAACTAAGTCTTTAAGACTTGGAACAAAATTGGTAGACATTGACTTTGTTCCTTGCTAAAATATAATGTGTATTGATTAACTTGTTGACACACATTTGTATACACTTAAAAAACAATTAAAGAGTACTAAAACATCAAAATATAATCCCTAAAAATAATTCTATATAAAAATACACTTTTCCATATATCTTATTTTATCATTTTCTTAAGGCAGGCCTCGAGTATGGATGAGTCTGCATTCGTTGCCTCGCTCGGACTGCTTTAAAACCAACTGATTTTTCATTTGAATTAGCCTTATGGCCTGTTAGTTGTTAATGACGTCACAGGACACACACAGGTTAGTTAATTAATACATGAAACAAAAACATCACATTATAAAACATATCAAGGATTTTAAGAAACAAATCCGTAATAACTGTTGGTACTGTTCGATAGCAAAACTGTCGACAAAACCGCAATATAAAAAAATAATGGAGTTAGTGAGGATTATAAGAATGTATAACGAATTTGTTAGTAGTCAAAATCCTTCTGCCAATATACATATTTGTACCTATAATCAAATTGGTTATTTTAACCTAGGAAATAATTTACGGTTGAAAAATGCGTCGCCATTTTGGATTCGTTTCTTCAATGGTTGCGGATTTTTGAAAATAAAATTTTAACCAGTTTGTTTCCGCTTCATATTAAAAATAAATCAATTCTCTAACAAACCAATATCCTGTTAATATAAATAATATGCAATGCCTACCTATCAGACAAATATGACAAGCTCAGATATAGACATAGCTTTGTATCGTTACACGTCAATTCACTCGACAACTAATTAAGATCGCTTTCAATAAACCAATCAAGTCATGTAGAACTACCAAACTAATCAAAACTAACTTAGGATTTTAATTAATAATAATAAATAAACAATCTAGTAGCGCTATATATATGAGTCTTAGTATCACATAAATAAACAGCCTTATGTCTGACACATGTCATCGATTTTTGGGTTTAAGACATGCCGGTTTCCTCACGATATTTTTCACCGTATCAGCAAGTGTTAATTGCAGATAGAGAAATAAAATTGCCTAGGTGCCACAGCCGTAATTTGAACGCACAACCTCAGTCACACGATCAAGCCACTGCCAACACTGCTATGAAGGATGTCATACTGAAATATATTTAGCTACTACCTTTAAGCATTTCATAAAACATACATAGAGAAATAAAGACGTGTTGCAAGTGCTGAAGAAAACTTTTGTTGCTACATTTTTATTGCATTATCAATTAAAGACGTGAGTGGATGAAGGTGATATGTCGTATTTTCGGTTTTTGGTGTTTTTTGTGTGGATGAAGGTGATATGTATAATTGAATTACTACAAACCTTAAAACCGTCGATATAAAGCTTATTTTTGGAAATAAAATTTTGAAAAAGGTGTTATGTTTAGTTTATTTTAAAAATTACAGACGATGAAAGAGGTATGTACACATATCACCCTCTCACAAATCAACAAAATAAAAACTTTACTTTTTGTGCGTTGAAGAAGGCGATATGTACGAACATAACCACTGCGCTTACTATGTTCGAATAAAGCGACCCTATTCTCCGTGAATGAAGGTGTTAAGTCGCTAACATAACACCTTCATTCACTCAAGAGGTTCAAATGTGTTGATTACGTTCGTTCGTTGCAGTTTCGCGCGCTTTCTGTTATTGTCGATTTGTGTCTGTTGGATACTGTGTAAAATATTTTTTAAAATACATAATTGACATTTCTAAAGTGAAATTAATATGGCAGGAGCCAAAGCAAGAGCAATATTGTTGGTGAACGCTGCTTTAAGTGACCGTGTAAACGAAATAGCTCAAAACAACGATGTATACAATAATCATAACCTCAAAAATATTGCAGGTTAGATCTTTACTAATTTTTGATTTGCTTGCTTTGTTTCAATCACAGTATCTACACTATTGTGAACTTTTCTGCTCAACTGAAGGTTATAATGTGCCACACTTCATTTGTTACTCATTAATATTTTGGCATACCTAAGAGGTGATGGGGCTACGCTGACCGCTATGATATTTTGTTTTTTTTAGTGTTCATTCTCGTAATAATGTTTTGTTTTGCACTCATAGTTGTAAAGGTGTCAAAATAAGATGTGTTAGGGATAAGGTTAATAAACGAAAAACATTTTATGGCAGGAGGAAAAACCGATGTCAATATTTAAATTTTTGGGTGGACTCGGTACGGTTTGGACTTGTACCTGATCGGTGTTTACTAACATTTTTTTTACTATTTGATCGCATGCCTTCTTCTTTGCTTATGGCTTTGATTTTGTAGATAATCTGGACCCTGCGTGTGATCTTGCAGATGCATGCAAAAGTTACGTAATCGCTGAACCATCCACTAGCGGTCAAGGCACAAATTATATTGGCAGCCTTGCGAAAGTTCCTGTCTCTGTAGATGATGAAATTTCAGATGTAATAGAGAATTCCCTAGGGGAAGATATAGATTATTTTGGACTTTCTTTTCGAAACAAAAAGTCATACACAGTCTTGGAGGATGTATCTCCATTGCACAATAGAAATGAAGATTTTTCTTCCGGTAGTGATAACATTTACATTCCTGAAAGCCCCGATAGCACTAGCTCTTGTGGCGTTAATGAGCATGAATCTGACAATGAATATGCTGATCGGCAGGAAAACCCCATTATTTTCTCCACTAGTGAACAACATGCAAATAAGGATTTGGAAGAAAATAATATGCCAAAAAAGCGCAAAGTATTTCCACCAAAAGAAAATAAATCAAAAAAACGGCCGAGGAATGAACAATCTTGGAAGAAAAATTATGCAGCAATAGCTAGAGCAAAAGGAGAGGAATATGTATCTTACAAAGGAGAGATAATTCCGAAAAAAAAGATAAAGGTAGGGATTTTGTGTCACGAGAAGTGCAGGCTTAAATGCTCAGATAATTTTTCCATTGATGATCGGCAGTCTATTTTAAACAGCTATTATTCCCTGGACACCAATAGTAAGAATGCCCTATTATTCAGGAGCATTGAGAGTATGCCTGTAGCGAATAAACGCTGTAATGCTAGAAAGCATAAATCTGCGTCCTTTGAAGGAGTACTACGTAAGTACTTGAGTACTACGTAAAAAAGAATGGAATTACGACAAAAATATGCAAGTTAGGTTTGTGCGGAATTTATCAGATAGGTCGCAAAAAAATTGATCTCATTATAAAAGGAATCAAGGAAGGACTTGCAGCTCCAAAACCAGATCAGAGAGGTAGACATCAGAATCGTCCTCACAAAATGGACGATGACGTTGTTAACCGTATAAAAGAACATATTTCTAGTTTTCCTGCTGAACAATCACATTACTCACGAAACAAAAATATGAACAAGCTCTATTTATCACCGCTACTGAATGTGACCAAGATGCACAGTCTATACTTAGGAATATGTCATAATGAGGACCTACCAGACAAATACCGTATCAAGAAAACTTCATATAACCAAATTTTTGTCACACAACCTATCGTTTGGATACCCAAAGAGTGATACGTGCGCTACGTGCGATGCTGGAGACTTAAATGACGAACATAAGTCAAATTATTATGCTGCTGTTGAAGCTATGCAAGTTGACCGTAGAAAACCAACTCGAGATGGCGATATTGTGTACGTTACGGCGATGGATTTACAACAAACCATGCCATTACCAAAACTAACAACATCAAAAGCGTTCTACTTGCGTCAACTGTGGTTTTACAACCTGGGTATTCATGTCTGTGATGGAAGCAAACAAAAAGCCGTATGTTGTACCTGGACTGAAGATGTTGCGGACCGCGGAAGTGCCGAAGTTGCGAGCGCACTTCTAAGATTTGTGGAAGTAGATCCAAGTTGCCAAAACAAAGATCACCTATTAATTTGGTCAGATTCATGTGCCGGCCAAAACTAAAATTTCACCATAATTACACTTTATCAATATCTTATCCTTAAAGGATATTTCAAAGTAATCGATCACAAGTTTCCTGAAGTTGGCCATTCTTATTTAGATTCGGATCGTGATTTTGGCAGAATAGAAAAAGTCCTTAGAAAGCATGACACAGTTTTCGTTCCTGACCAGTACCGTGATATCATTTGCAAAGCTTCTCGTAATAATACAGTGATTAATATGACAGAACATTTCAGAAAAAATGGTGAGCTTCAAGATAATCTCAATTTGATAAATAGGAAAAAAGATGTAAGCAATAGAAAAATCAGTTTTAGGGATGGTATCAAATGGATTCGAGTTGAGGAGTATGGATCTTATCTATACAAAGAATCGTACGATGAAATGACACCGTTTAAAAAGGTGGACATATTAAAAAGAAATCGAAGGTGTCCGCGAATTTAGAAATTCCACGTGTGACTGGTAAGTATGGTACTGTTTCAGTAGAAAAAAAACAGAATCTCCGAGACCAACTAAAGTACGTGAAGCCAGAATATCGCTATTTTTTTGAGTCAATTTTAAGCCAAGGATAGTATCTTTTTATATATAGCATGATCACAAGTGTGATATAGTAATATAATAGCTTAAGTTTTTGCAGAGGCTGGTTCTGTGTATTATAAAAATATAACATGTTTATTCATATTCGTACTTAGCACCTAATTTTATATAGCCGTAAGGACAAATAGTTTAAGTTAGTTCATGGAAGAAGGAGTTATGTTAAGTTTTTTTTAAATATAATATCGAATAATATCGCAAGAGTTTTATTATCAACGTACCCTCAATATTTAGGATCATTCACACTACTTTGCATTCAAATTCACGGCATAACTAATCATTTAAGCGACTTACAAAAGAAAATTTTAGCAAAACTTTAACTTCAATTTTCTCAAAATCTAAAAAATTGCACTTATCACCTTCATCCACTCACGTCTTCAATTATGGTTTAGCAAAATATTGATATTTTTTACGCTTTTTGTGTCTAAAAAAGTACCTACACACAGTCAGGACACCTTTACGGAACGGTTTTTTTTAACAATTTTATTAATAAAAGGAATTTAAATTATAAGAAATTAATATTGCAACATACGTGAATACGACAATATTTTTAAAATTTTAAGGGACCTTATCTTACACAGACGAAGGACAAACATTGAAATCCATATGTTAATAATAAAGAAATGCATTTTAGTACTACCACTCTAGATTATGTAAAAAAATTCCACCATGCTTTTATATATACATATTTAATTTTAAATTTGTTAAAATTATTTCGTGTTAAATTCATAGTCTTTCTAGTCACAACTTAACTAAAATTGAGTCATTTTTATTAAATTTTATCTTATGCATTTTAAAATAAAAAATCATTACAAATAAAAATAACGTAAATTATAAAACGTTACCTTGACCATTCCTTTGCAACGATGTCCCATCTCTGGCGACACCAGAGCCGAAGCCAGCAAGAGGCCTTACTGCTACAGGCGCCGGGTTTCGTTTGAAGGGAATTACTTTTCCGACTATCGGCTTCACTATTTTAGCTGTTGAAATTATTATTTTATTATATCATTTATTTTGTCAATGTATGGAAAACTTTTAAGGAAAATAATATTATATATAAAGAGTAATTTTGATTAAAAAAACTACTCTAAAACTAATTTTCTAATAATAAAATTTTCGAAAAATGCGAAAAATATAACAAGCTATCGTTTTACAGTTAATTTAGTGTTAATACTTATTCTTGTTTTTCTTATTTTGGAATTTAGCATTCATTTTGATTCATCAACGATTAGCCTTTAGTTGATTTTAATTAATTTTATAACTTATGATTGTAACTTATACATTTATTTTTGTTAATTTAGGGCCGGTTTTTTGATCCGTAGTTAACTCAACTATTGGTAAAAAATCCTTACTATTAGTTAAATATCAGCAAAATGCGTTTTTTGATCCGTGGTAAGAGCATCCAATGGTAAAATATCTAACCATTAGTCAAAAAAGTTAACTACTCAGTATCGCAGGGTTAAAAAGATGGCCGCTGGTAATTTATATAGTAACAGCTGTTTGTCACAGAAATCAAACTATGATAAATACGTTTATTACTATCTAATGATGAATTTAAACATATTGAGATACTTTGATGTCGAAAGTTCTTCAGAAGAAGAATACGGTAATATTATATTAGAATATGTTTTAATGAGAAGAGCAAAAATATTTAGGCCACGCCATCCGCCGTTAGAAACCTGGGATGATGTTGATTTTTGCCACCGTTACCGTCTATCGAAGGAAACAGTACTCTGGATGGTTACTGAAATTGGGAACGATCTTAAAACGCCCACCCTCAGGTATGTACATAGCTACCTTTATAAGATTGCCTTTTTTTGCTTCTAGGTACTTTGATGCAAAATTTCTAAAATGCGTTTTTATTCCAGGAATAATGCAATCACACCCCTTGAGCAAATACTGCTCACATTGCGATTCTATGCAACAGGAACCATGCAACAATGCTCTGGAGATCTATTTGGAATGTCTAAATCCGCTGCGTGTAAAGTCATCCACTGTGTCTCCAGAGCAATATGCATTAAGCTTAAATATTTTATTTCTATGCCACGTACAGCAGAAGAGGTTAAAGATGTAGTGGCCAATTTTTATAAAATTGCCAAGTTTCCAAGTGTTGTTGGTGCAATTGACTGCAGTCATATTCGCATCCTCAGTCCCGGTAAGAAAATTCTCATGCATTAATTTATATGTATAAGCACACATCCTACAATTCATTAAGCTAGATGTTGGTTTTGTTTCAGGGGGTGATAATGCAGAGCTCTTTAGAAATAGGAAAGATACCTTCTCTATAAACACCCAGGCAGTTGTTGATGCTGAATTGAGAATAAGAGATTTAGTCGCAAGGTGGCCGGGCTCAGTGCATGACAGCACGATATTTAATAACAGCAGGTTGAAAGTACTAATAGAATCTCAACAGCTAGGAAACTGCTGCCTTTTGGGAGACCGCGGATATGCACTAAAAAAATATCTGCTGACACCACTGGCTGATCCCCAAACTGCAGCTGAGAGACTGTACAACGAAAGCCAAATTCGAACGAGAAATGTAGTGGAAAGAGCGTTTGGAGTGTGGAAGAGAAGGTTTCCCTGCATAGGCTCTCAATTAAGGGTGGCTTTAAAAATGTACAGCCTATCATTGTAAGCACGGCAATATTGCATAATATATGCATAGATAGGAGGGAATATCTGGCAAATGACAATGAAAATTCCACAGTTCATCTTCCACTGGAAGAGCATTTAGCTTTCCCAGAGACTGCCAATGAGCAACAGTACAGACAGCAGCTCATAGAAACCTATTTTGTGTCTTTACTAGGTACAGAAGCGCGGCAGTAAATAAGTATATTTAATAAATAATATTAACTAATTCATTTTGTATATTATTGCTTATAATATTAACTAATAGTTTTATGTAAATACTTGTAATTAACTACAGCTACACATTAGTTAGGGACCTATGATATTCTTGAGGGCTTTTATTACATATGTGAGTTAAGATCTACCTACTTTATAACAAGATTTTATAAATAAAACATGTGACTTGATTAATAAACTATTTAATTTTCATATTTTCTAAATGTTGCTTCTTGCACTCCATCTCAATTTGATGTAACTCTTCTTGCTGCTCCATATATTTTTTGTGTCTTTCTTCCATCTGCTGCATCGCTTTTTGGTGTGCTTCCTCTTTATACAGCATGGATTTTTTGTGAGCCTCTTCTTCGTGCAGCATATGTTTTTCATGCTCTTCTTTAGCATATTTTGATAAATCATGCTCTCTTATTTCTTTTTGTTTTAAAAAATTAATTTTTTTATCCGTGTATGTAATAATTCGCTTCCTAGTTTCCAACGGGTTAAAATAACTTTTCCTTTTGTCGTAGGACACAGCTAGAACAAGAACAATTAATATAAGTATGTGCCTAGCCCTTCATTAAAGGTATATTAAATTTACCACAAACTAATAATGTCTGCTTACATAACTCTTTAGAGACTGGTTTTCGCAGCATAGCCTTTGGTGTTGAACAGTCAAATACATTTGGGACTTCTGGAACAAATATAACAAAATTGTGAAACCCTACATTTGCTAATAAATTTTTGATAAACAAAAATTAGTATTTTACAAACCTATATTGTTGGGAATGTTCTCCTTACAGTTTTCCTCCCAGTCTCTGTTTTTAATTGATGGAATACTTTGAGAAGTGCCTGAAATAATAAATAATAGTATAAAAAATTGTTTTTAAAAATCAAGTAATTGGCTATATAGTATGACTTAATAACTGTTAACTTACATGGATCTAAAGTCTCAGCTTGAATAAACTCTATATTTACATCAGCGGAGTCTGTAATATTTTTTACTTCTACATTACTAATATCTGTAAAATAAAAACCACAATTAGATATAGTTTCACTCATTTAACCTAAACAATTTCAATCCTCAAGAAGGGTCAATACCCAATGCATCGCTGTCATACACCGCAGGAAGACCCGATATTGACTCTCCCATTATACTATTTAACCACTCTGTGGTGTCTGATGGTTTAGGAGGAGCTGGTCCACCTCCAGTTAGGCGTCTTCCGTACTTCTCTGCTGCCATTTCCTAAAAAATACATTATTTAATAAAATATAAGTAATTTTATATCATTTGACACAATAACATACGAGATGAAGTTGTGAAATCGGGACCAAACACAACAGATACAAACCTTTCTTGCAGTTTTTTTAATATTGTTATATTTCTGCTGTAACTGCTTAACACTTCGGTGTCTTAACCCATCTGAATTGAAAACGTCACAAAGAGATTTCCACGCTGCATCTTTTTGTACATTGCTGGAGTGATCCGTTTTTTTGCACGTTAGGACTGGGTAATCCTTCAGTAGCTGCATTAATTTGGTCGTTTCTCTTTTAGCGAAGTTAGCAGTACGGTCCCTTTAACAAAACATAAATGTATTACTTTCTATTACACAAGATAACCCGGAATAAATAACACGAAAATATGTTTGTACTTACTTGTTTGACTGTTGTCTGTTTGCGGACATCGTTATTGTATTAATATTTATAATATTATGTATTTTAATATAGTATAATATTGTATATTAATTTGACTCTTTACACTCTTCAAAGCACAAATAACGAATGAAGATGGCAAAAATGGATTTCGTTCACTCAGTATGTCTAGTGTTGTCATACAAAATAAATGTTCCCCACAAAAAATAACTATATTTTTTGGGATGTCATTGTTCATTGCACTGGCAACAAATTGACCAATTGTTAAGATTTACTATAGTTAAAAAAGGCATTGAAAAACGCATTTACGATTTTACCAATGGTTATTCATTTAACTATAGTTAATGTAACAAATGGTAAAACCATTTTTTACTACGGATCAAAAAACTGGCCCTTAGTTAAGCACTTCTCGCAGTTTACCGTTAAAATATTTTTTCTTTACTAGGGTTGCCTGGAAGACGACGCTTAGCGATAAGGTGGTTCGTTGCATCGTGAATAATTTATATTTAATGTAAGGAAGTTTAAATAAATAAAATAATTTGTTAAGATAAACAAAGTTCGATTCCCGGCTAAGCAATAATTATTGTGTAACTCAGAAAACGAAATTTACTCAATGAACAATATCTCATACGCAACATAGACTTACCTCTGTCATTAGAATTGTTTGTACGGGTGATTGTATTCGTCCTTTCCATCTGAGTTTTAATTGGCTGTCTGTTCGGTTCCACCTTCACAGTTTCCTTCCAGTCCATTTTATGTGCCATAACAAATGTTGAATTCAAACAGTTCGGATCAATAGTGCTAAATTTATCCACTTCTGATGACTGACTCGGTTCTTTTTTTACCTTCTTCGCTGAATTCATGACTTGTTTCACATCCATGCTCTCAAATGAATCATTAATAATGATTGTTTCATTATTTATCTTCATAGGAGTGCCTTTAGTGAATGTCCCTTTACGCTTCTTTGCTGACAGGAGTGGCTCCCTATTTTCAATGTTCTCTTCATCATCAAAGTTGATACCACTGATTGGCTTTTCTAAATCTAGTGATGACACAAATTTGAATAAGTCATCGTTATCCGGTACCTCATCGGACCACACTATACCCTTGACCGACTTTGCCTTCTTCATAATCTCTAGATACTCATTGGTCAACGGAGGAGTGACTCTATCATAACCTTTTAAAGTTAGATAAAGCTTCTTCAGCATTCTGGGCATTTCGCTGGCATAGTCTGTGAAGGATTTAATTTCCTGGTGCTCGATGGCTAGAAGCTTGTATCGTAGATTGCCTCTGGCTTCAGCTAATCTTAGTTTGGCTTGGGTCTGTAGTTTCTGGACAAAGTCTTTGAGTTCTGGATGGTCTGCAACAGCCTGATTGTACATTAAATTCAACTTCTTTTGGCTCTCATTCCATTCGCTCCAAGTAGAAAGTACTTTGGTATCGAGTAGTGCACATTGCTTCACATAACTTTCAGCGGCACGTTCTTGACGAGGAATATCTTCTACACACATCTAAAAAAAAAGCATTTTTATCTCTATATATATAAAATTCTCGTGTCACAATGTACGTTCCCATACTCCTCCGAAACGGCTCGACCTATTATTATGACATTTTTTATGCATATTCAGTAAGTCTGAGAATCGGCTTCAATCTATCTTTCAAACTCCAAGTGATAAAAGATGTCCGACCCAAATAATTTTTTGTTTCTTGGATAATAAATTTATTTTTTTACGATACATAGAACCCCTATTTTTCACCCTACTACGACCAACCCCTATTTTTATTTGTTAATTTAAAACTCGGAGGTTTATATTATATAACGTAGAGATTCACAGAAAACCCTAAAAAGTTTTCATTCCAGAAAACCGAAGTCTCTGGGGTAGTATAGCAAAATGTTCCATGTTGGTATATACTAAAAAGGTAGGCTAAATTAAATCACATTAAGGAGAAACGAAGTTCGCAGGGGCAGCTAATTTACATAATATATTATTGAATACAATACAATTATGCCAGTGGCACTACACCCAGTATAGGTTTTGGTCTCAAATTTCTGTATCTGTTTCATGATAATTTTCTTTCTTAATAGGAAAGTAGGTAATCAGCCTTCTGTGCCTGACACATGTCGACTTGTGACTTGGGATTCTAAAGCATGCCGGCGCTACAAACTACATTGGCGCCATGATTCAAAAGCACTTCAGGTTGGTACAGCGCACGCACTTCTCTTTTTATTGCCCTTGTGATATTATACTATCTTTATTACCTGTTGAATATGTTCAGTGGAGCACCGATGAGCCAAATCTGTGAGGTGCTGGAAGGCCCGCGTTCGCAGATGTTGACGTAACGCTAGCATGCGCTGTTGGCACATGTTTGCTATTAGACGACTTTCAATCGCAGCGTGTGCGGTTTCAGCTGATTGTATGCGCTGTCGCCATTGCTGAGACACTGTTATAAAGGTACATTAAAATTAGAAAAGCGCCGTTACCGCTCTTCAAAACTAAAATCACAAAGAATTGATAAACTCCTACTTTGGCTGGCAAAGCACTCGCCTTCTGGCAATGGACGGTATTACTTAACATCAAATTTAACTTAATTACCTCTTTGATATAATAAAAATGAGTTTTCTATAAAAGCACCTTAGAAAAGTAATAACCAAACACTATGCTACGCCATGAGAAAAGGAAGAACAAAATTATAAAAACAATTAAACTGTACAAAAAAAAATTATATACATACAAAGATTTTTTTATTAATACTACACAGTTATCAACTTAGCTTTAAGCTGCTCTGTCTGATTTTACAAGTACAATTACTCATTATACAACACACATTAAACATTAAAAAAAAAAACTTAAAAAGTATCAATTTTTTTTTACTAAATTTTCATGTTAAGACACAGTTTTAAATATAAATCAATTAACTTACATTTTTCCTTAACTCCGTCAGACTCTTTGACAGTCTTCAGAGAGGACAGAGATAATTTGGCTTCCAACTCTTTAATTCTCTTCTTAAGCTCCTTATTTATCTTAACATATTGTGACGCCCGTATATCACCATCAACAATATTCTTTTTAATTGATAGTTGGATTTTATTTGCTCTTGCAGCGTATTTGAGTGTGTTGTATGTGTCTTCATATGTTATACTTGATGGGGATACATTAGCGATCATAACTGTCTTACAGTTGCCACCAAGACTGTCTTTAAGAAGACGAGTCAATTTTGAATCTCTAAAAATTTACACATAAGTAATTATATTTAAAGATATTTTGACATTCCACCCAACCATTTTCCTTGAGCAGTCAACATTGCAATTGTAATGACAATCTACTCAAATTGTTCATAGAGAAAATAATTGAAAATTGGATTTAATAAACTCACTAATGATAAAAACACCAAGAATATTATATTGTAAAATACTTAAATATTAAACATACCTGTAAGGAATATAATTGCTTCCGTCAGCCAATTTGTTGATACAATTGCCAAGTGACAAGAGACTTTTATTAATATTAGCACCTTCTTTGAACCGGTCTCCTTTACAACCAGTAGCTGAGGCGCGCTCACTACCAGCAAGATCTATCATAGATAATTTTACCATACGAAGCTGGCTGCTAATCTTATACTGCATTTTAACATACACCTTAAACAGTTTTTTTCACATTTTCGAATTAATCTAAGGTTAATATAAAAATGATAGTATTTATTTAGTATATTTGTTAGACAAATATAATAATAACTTCTAAGTACCAAAACTTGCATAAACAAACCTGAAACACAGCATGACTCCTAGAGCTTTCGGCATTAGCATCAGTAGGATGTTGTGTTCTGTTTTTATTTCCATCTTCAAGCATGTTAAGAAGCTCTCTAGCTGTTTTAATGGAATGAAGGCTGAGACCAGCTACCATCACCCCATATTTTGAGTCTTCCCGAAGTTGGAGTGGAGTAGAAGATGGTTTAAGAAGATCATACACATTTTCATTATAAACCTAAAAAGGCAAAAAAGGTTTCAATATAAAGAAGTAGCATTGAAAAGTAACGCTTACTAGCACACTTACCTCAATATATGACACTCCAATATCAAAATCTCTATCCTTCTCGAAAGAATCAATTGTGTAAAACAAGTGCGCCATTGTTAAATAAGTAATACCAGGATTCTCTAGAGTGCCAATCATAGTGAACGTTTTTCCAGCCCCAGTCGCTCCATATGCAAAGACTGAACAATTATACCCCTCCATTAGAGATGAAATAATATCCTTTGTTGTGGTTTCGAATACGTCTTGATTTGAGGCTTCCTGACCACAAACATCATCGAAGACAAACTTTAACTCTTTGTTAGCACGTTTCAGGTAGTTCTTGTTAGGCTGCTGGACTCCCTGATAAAAGAAAGGTCTGGTTTCTTCCTTCGGGTCAAACACTAACATTTTGTCATCAACAACGTCTACAACAATACGATTGTTCGACTGCATTTCTTTCATATTTAAGGGACGAACCCTCACCACTACTTTAATATTAGCAGACATATTTTGTGTGGACCCGGTTTTCGAGGGAGCAGCTACCGAACCCTTTTTCGCGCCCAAGCCAGGGCCTTTTTGCAGTCCCACCATCTTTATATCACTCACAAGTCACACACATTTTAGTAATTAAAAACTTTAGAAACACTTATAATATACTGTTTAACTTTCTTCCATTTAGATACTAAAAAGTACTTTTTGATAAAATTATCAGAATCCGAAGCCCACATTCATAAATTGGTTGCCGTTCGTTAATCGTTTAATTTGAAAATATTCGAAGTGACCACTAACCAACCGTCAAATTTTAAAACCGATAATAAAAAAAGTAGATATTGGATTTTTTTGCAAACTTTTTATTTGACAACACTAAAGTTAGTACGGTCAAAATGTCTTGATATTTTTTTATTTTAATAAAAAAAGAATAATATAATACCTAATTTTTTTAGGTTTTCTTCATACAGATCAAACTTTCATCATCTAGCGACTTCTAGCGACATTTTAAGTTTTAACCTTCGGTCTAGCGACATATGCTTTTATCAAGTTGGCAACACTGGCTGGTATATTATTTAAAAAATAAAAAATTTGTAAATGTAAATATTATTTTGTGTAGTATTTTCTATTATATTTTGATGTATGTGGCCAGTGGCAACATAAATACCGGTCGTTTGATATATAAATTAACTATTACTCTTGTTGTGTGAAGAATAAACCAATTAATTAAGATAAAATATATGGGTTGTGATTAATTACAAGATAGAACATCCCATACTAGTAAACAATACTAAGTAATGGTAAGCAGATATATTATTTAATTATTTATTACTAAGTTAATACACTAGAGAAGTTTATCATAATATTGTTAATGAATGAGAAGTTTGAAATTTGAATTCAAATCCCATGGGAATTACTGACATTGTTTGGTTATTAAAAAATTTAATTGACAATAAGCAGCAAAGTGACAAATTACGTATATATTTTTAAGTTTAGAATAAAGTAAAGAGTTTTAATATTAAAGTTACCTATTGAATAAACCTTGAAGCGATCTTACAGTTTAGTTTGTCAGTTTTCTGTTATAAATGTTTTACAGATGTAGTAAACTAGAGAAGGAAAAATTAAAAATGACATCGACTGACACATATCAGTTAAAATGGCATTCTCACAGCTCCCATTTAAATGGTTCCGTAGCATCGTTGCTACGCTCAGAGCGATTTACGGATGTGGTCCTTTGCACTATGGATGGGTCTCAGATACCGGCCCACAAGTTCATCCTCAGTTCATGCAGCGTCTACTTCAGCGGTCTTTTCGAAGGACAACGTTCTCTGACGCGTATGGGGGGAATACTATACGTAGTACTGCCGTCGGAGATATCCACAAAAGTCTTGAAGATTCTCGTAGAGTACATGTACAAAGGTATAGAATTTTTATTATTGTTTATTCTAATGTTTGCTTGTTGTACTGTAAGAAAAAATTAAAAATTAAAGGCAAAAAAATAAAAATAATTACAATTTTACTTGTTAATTAATAGACACAATCGGGATCTGCAATAATTTTTCTATTAATATATGCCGGTTTTATTATTGTAAATTAATATTTGCAGGTGAAACCACAGTCTCTAATGAAGTGTTAGACATAGTATTAAAAGCAGGAGAAGTGCTCAAAATTAGGGGGTTATTGCGTCAGACAGATGAGATTGGAGGTGATTCTACACCTGCTGAGAAGACCACTACTAGCCCATCATCTGCAAAGTTGGTTGTAGCTAGGATTGTAAAAAGTAATGTTGTAGAAAAGAAATATGGAAAGAAACAAAAGATGGAGACTTCGGAAGAAGTTGAGGATGATGATGCCGGCTCTGTTAGTTCAAGTAAGCTCTATTTATAATGTAAATAAGACTCAAAGAATACACAAACTATTGAAGATGTATTATAAGTAATTTTATCTTAAATATAGATCATATTATTGGGTGAGATTCTCAGACGAGACCTAATGCTAAGTATGACCAGGGCCAGATTTAGGGGATAATATAATAGAGACATAGAAAAAAATGTTTTAAATTCCAATTAGTAACACTAGTAAACAACTTCTTTTGATATATTTTTATATGTTTGTTAAATACTAAAAGAACTTCTTAACTAAGTGTGAAACTTCACAATAAATTACTGATTGAAGAACTCGACTGAATTTTTTTTCATTTTATTTGGAAAATAATTTAGAGCCAATAAATAATTAGGGGCCTCCACTTCTTTGTTGCCCAGAAGCCTCTAAATGCAGCCCTGATTATGACTCCAGTATGTCAAAAAATGGAGTTTGGCATCTCAAAGCTATAATGATGTTTTATATTTGTATACAACACATTCAAATATAAATAAATTAATAAAAATTTTCTTTTTCAATGACCGAATTCAAAAATAATTACAGAAAAATCAAGTCAAAGTAACTCGGCTGTGGAAGTCCATGTAAAAGAAGAGCCAGAATGGGATGCAAGCAGCATTAAGGAAGAAGAGAGATCCATCGCAGAGATGTTCCAAGCCGAGATGAGTGTCAAGTCGGAGCCATGTGATGATGTAGAAGTTGAAGAAGAGGGACTGGTAGGTTTTTCTATGCTGTAATATTTTTACTCATATGGTACTATGCTCGGTACGGGCTTTCCTATATAGGCTTTAAAGACCCAAGACCATTTATTTTGTATTTGATAAATTAATAAATAAAATAGACACATTCTATTGCCCTTGGGTTAGGAAGACTTGTTTTAAAATAAAATTAATTTCAGCTCTACAGTCCATTGTCATGTGAGCTATGCGCTGAAGTGTTCTCGGTGCCGGCTGCATGGGTCAGGCATGTGCAGCATCATGCGGACCAAGATGATCATCATGCTCGGAAGAGAAAACGGAGATCAGATGTTAGTGAGATTTGATTGTTTTAATACTTTAAGGCTAAAGATGTGTATCTCAAGAAATGCTTATGATATATGTCCATTTATCAAAATAAGACTATTATATTTATATAACATTAACTATATCATTAATTAGCATTACTAGGAACGGAGCGAAAATTTATTTGGAGGGCGTAATTGTTCCAAATAAATTTTTAATAAAAAGCCTTACATTTGATTAATTTTTTTTATTATTAAAAATTGACTTAAAAAAAATTGACGTTAAACGAATTCAAAGGAATTTATAGAAGAATCAAATATCTAACAAAATATAAGTTTAAAAAAATAACAAAAATGGTCTCTTCTCGGTTTTAACACCCACTAAAGCAGTGTTAGCCTAGTGGCTTCAGAGTCTTCGCTCTCATCCCTGAGGTCGAAGGTTCGAACCCCTTCGTGCACCAATGGACTTTCTACGTACGCATCTAAGACTTGCACGTAAGGGAGCGGGATTGAATTACGCGTTATTGTTAATATTATTTTCGACTTTCCATTACTTTACACCACATAATGGTAACTTTTAGGTATAAAGAGTCACTAGGTGGTCACGAAACGTTTTAGTATACTTGGGTACAGAAAAACGTTACGGCGCGTTACCTGGGGGGTCAATAATTTCCAAAAATTGCGTGACGTATACTTGCGCTCCCTAAGGTGAAGGAAAACATCGTAAGGAAACCGACATGCCTTAGACTCAATAAGTCGACGAGTGTCAGGCACAAAAAACTGATCACCTACTTTCCTATTAGAACTAATAAATGGTCAAGAAACTGAGGCGTAGACCTACAAGCTTTTTTAATATATGTTTTTATAAAATCATTGTAATTTTTTTAAACAATTACTATACGATATTACAATTGAAATTGTAGTCAAAACGAAAAATAAATTTCAGAGCGACGACACAGAAGAAACGACAGCTTTACTCCGCTGTGACCTTTGTCAGAAACATTTCCCGAACCCAGCGGAATGGGTGAGACACGTACAAAGCTCGCACACGGAGACAGGTAATTAAAAAAATATATTTTTTAGGATTCACCTTCTTATGAGCTGGGAATCGAACTCAGAACCTTGTATTATAAAAATATTCAAATATACAATTTGAATTTTTTATTCCCACTAAAATAACTTCTCTAAAATCCATAGTATAATATAATATAATTATTTGTTATATTATAGTCTATGGAAATGTTGCCATATTATACAATAGAAGTTTTATTTTAATGTCTATATTATAAAGTAAGGTTAGCTGTTTTATATTAATAATAATAATAATCTTTATTTTCTTCTCTCACATATACATACAAGGTTTTTATGATTAAGCTAAGATGATATTATTTTTTATATATCATTATCATATTAGCATTAGGAAGTGTATGTGAGAGACTGGTCTCTGTAACAGGAGACCTGAGTGACAGATAGCCAGCCTCTCCACCCCGGATCGGAACACGTACAATCATGTCATTGTCATAAGATACAATAGAAGAAAATAGGTATTAAGTGCTAAAAGAAAACATTGCAAACGGAGTCTTAAAAATAAATTTGGTGTGTGTTTGTGTGTGTGTATGTGTCTCTCTCTCTCTCTAAGTGTGTGTGGCGTGCGTGGGTGTGTGTATATGTGTGTGTGGGGGGGAGTGGGTGTGTTACAGAATAACAGTTATTAGATCTTCTGTTTCATCATAACTCAACGTCTTCAGCCAAGTAGTACCCTTTTTTTTACATTTATATTTGGGTAGTGGGTAAATGTTAATTTTTTCATTTAATTTATTATACAAGTAACAGCCTAGGAAACCAAAGAATCTTAGCGAGGAAGAAGTTGTCCATTTTGTAATACAACAGCAAACTTTATGTTTAATCCGCTTGTTTATATTTAAATCGGGGTCGTAACTAGTTTTATGATGTTGTTTTAGAACTGTGTTGAGAATAAATAATTGACGAATTGTTAATACATCGGCTAGGGCATAAAGCTCTTTGGTGGGAAAAAGAAGCAGTAAGGAGTGACTTACTTTTAATACTGCTCGTTGGGCTCTTTCAAGTTTTAGGAGATTGGTTTTGAAAGTACCTCCCCAAACAGTGATACCATAGCCTAAGATTGATTGACATAAAGACTGATAAACTACGTTAATAATTGTTTTTTTCTGCTATAAGTCTTAAAGTTTTAAAGATATAAATGAGTTTACGAGTTCTGCAAGAGAGAAGATCCACGTGAGAATTAAAACTCAAGTTACTATCGATAACTACACCCAAATACTTAATACTATAGGCAAGGGAAATACTTTTGCAATGGCAGAGTTGATTTGAAGAGCAAGTATGGGCTATGATAGAAAAAATATCATGATATTGTCTATGCAGTAGAAGTTTGCCTTTTAATAAAAAAAATAATGCCTTAAATACAACATAGCTGAAATCTGTTTGTTATGTATGTGGCTAATTCTTGACACTCATGATAATCACTTCAGTTATGTTGCCATTTTACATTGATTGATGTGTGTAATTCTCGTAAATGGCAACATTAGCCAGAGTTGCCATGTTACATTGATTAATGTGAGTAATACTAGTAAATGGTAACATTGCCCAGTGTTGCCATATCACACTGAATACTTGTATTCAGTGTGATGAATAAGATGGCAACACTGGCCTGAGTGGTCCTAAAGCGTCGGATGTTGGGTTGTCCAGAATTGGCCTTATCAAACAACAGTGAACCACCAAAACGTCACAATTGTTTCACAGACGGCGAGCAAAGCAAGAAATGCGAACAATGCAACAGGAACTTCCCGTCGCATGCCTCCATGCTCATACACTTGCGCACGCACACGGGTTCGTATATTTATTATTTATTAATAATCTTTTTTTTATTATATAATATATATATATATATATATATTATATGCATGTATGTACTTTAATTTGCTGCGACTACATTCCATGGGATACTGAATTATTGGAGGCTGCAAAAGTGTTTCTATTCGACCTTAGAACATAAATTTAAAATGACCTTATACAGCGTGTAACGGAAGGGGGGTATCAACCCTGAAGGATGTGAATATGCTCATGAAACTAAACAACTTTCCCCAAAGAACATAGGTCGAATTATGAAAAAAAAATGTTGGGCCTCCCATAGTAATAGTAAAACAATCAACTGGTTGTCAGTTTTGTAAGAGAGGGCCAAATTTTCTTTCATAGTTTGACCTATGAAAAAAAGTTCTCTGGAGAAGTTGTTCAGTTTCGCGAGTTCTGTGGTAAAACTCATGAATGGTTAATAAATCACACGGAATTAAGAAAAAAAAATTCATTTCAGAAATTCAAGTAATACCTAAGGACAATGACCATGTCCTTGAGATGAGCACTAAACGAAGAAATTGTGCAGGGTGCTACGACAGACTGCGGAAAACCTTAAATAGTTTTCAAGCAAAAAGAAAAGTTAAGAAAATAAAAAAATATTGCAGGAAATGCAATCAAAACCTTTGCGTAACATGTTTCCAAGACAGGCATAAGTAAATAAAAACATTTTTCAGTTCTTTTACGATAATTCTGTTTATTACCTTATTTTTCTGTGTTCCATCACTACTAAAAATAGTTTCTAGTGCGGTTCAGGTCGATATCGGCTTGCCGCTTTTTCTGCTTTATTTCTCATTTCCTGTTTGGCAGATCCCGGGGCGAATCAAACCTAAGGAAGTTAGGTTCAAGGTCATTCTAATAATATAAAAAAAATGTATACATTAGGTTTCCACAAAGTTATAGCAATTTAATCTATCCTAGTGCTGGTGGGTATAAAAAGACCTGCCACGTATTGGCGGAAATATCATTGGGGGCGCATTTTGGCCCGCCGCCGCACCAGATGAATTAGAGCGCGGCCACACAAAGCGTTAACGGTGCGGTGCGGCGCCGGAGCGGTGCCGCAACGTCGTCCTACATATAAATTACTATACCATGTCACACGATGCGTTGCGCCGCCGCGCGGCGACGCACCGCAAGCGCGCCGGAGTTGTGACCTGCGAGACGAGGCGGGGAGGGGTAAAATATATTGCCACACCGCAACGCCCGTGTGGCACCCTATAGCTCAAAGTAATTGCGGTGTGGCGCCGCACCGCACCGTTAACGCATCGTGTGGCCGCGGTCTTATGATTTTACTTGCCGCAGTACACGTGTTAATCTATTTTTATTTCTAACACCATATTTTTACACGGGTTAAGTCAACTAAACCATTGTTATAATTGAACGCGTTTTAATACATTAATTTTGACTATCTTCTGAATGTCTGAAATTAAAATAGAAACATTTTAATTTTTTTGATTAATTTATAATATGTATCCGTTTTTAGTATTTATTATTTTAATTAATAAAATTATTATTTTTGATATTATCATTCAAGGGCATTATTTCCTTAAATGTTATCAGTATATCCCGTTTTAACTTAAATATGATAATTTTCTTTTCATCACCTGTAGATAGATTGAAGATACTGGAAAAGCTTTTACCTGATCCTAATGAAGTCAATCAACATAATGTTTTGGAAGTGAAACACGAACTCATCAAAATAGAAAAGACCCAAGCGAGACAGAAGAAGGTAGGAAGAAAGAAACCACTGAAGTGGCCCGAAAAGAATGCAAGGGCTGCAAAGCCCAGAAGAAGAGAGTGCAAACAATGTATGAATGTCAGCAATGTGAAGGTTCTCCAGGCTTCTGTACAAAATGTTTTTGTCGGGCACACTCCTAAGTTTTTGTAGTGAAACGTCTTTAGTTAGCGTTTTTGTCGAAGAAAAGGGAAAGAGCGATTGAGACCGATTGAGAGAGTGAGAAGAGCGAATTACCTTACAGAAATTCTATTTTTATAATTAAAATTTTGTAAATAGAATTAATATGATTATATTTATATATAAATTGTATTCGTGATTTGAGATTTCTTAAATTCCCATTACAAAATTTTAATTATTAAAAGAATTTCGTATATTTTCAATTTGTATATCTATATTTACAAATATAGGTATACAAATACTTGGAGTGATCAAATGCTGGTTCATGATCACCTATTGGGGCTTTTACCTTAGTAATAATTAATTTTCAAAGAAGTTTCACTTCGGACACGTGTATTTTGTACGCACGCGGTTTTTTTATTCGCGGTTCCTCGCTTCTTATTCGTCGTCTATATAAGTGACCTACCATTTCTTGTAAAGGAGCTTCATGAGATAGTACTGTTTGCTGATGACACTTCGCTTTTATTAAAAGTGAAACGACGAAATCCATCGCTTGAGAATGTAAACAGTGCCATCTCCAGTGTAGTTCACTGGTTTAACACAAATAATCTTAATCTAAACGAAAAGAAGACAAAATGTATTAAATTTGTAACTGCAAATGTAAAAAGTAAAAATAATAATTAAAGATGAGGAAATAGACTATGTTGATAATGCGGTGTTCTTGGTAATCTCATCAACACTAACTACGCAAAAAAACTCAGTTTTATATCGCGCAGCCCGGACATACAACGACCAATATTTAAGCCTTGACTTGTTTAAGCTATCGCGGAATATGGTTAAGGAGTATTAAGAATATCCCTAGCGCAAAATCACCTCCATCATGAGCATACCCCACATACACCTTACCCTCACTTTTACACCATCACACAACACAGCCAAATTAGGTACCACTTAGTTAAATGTATTGAATAATTTTTATTTGTTTCCTTTTGAACCTTTTTGTAGTTAAATGTATTCATCTCTGGCTATATTTTCAGTGTAACTGTAGGATTACGAAATAAATTACTTTAGATAGTAAACTCCAATGGGGCCGACACATAGAAAGTCTTTCGAATAGGCTAAGTTCTGTAGAGTTCGCAGTGAAAGAGATACGTGATCCTACGGATTATAATACAGCAAAGCTCGTTTATTACAGCTATTTTCATCGTATTATGTCATATGGTGTTATTTTGTGGGTTGTGCAGTTGTGCATTTGTGCAGCTGGCATTAAATCGATATTTAAAGTGAAAAGCGGGCTATAAGAGCGATCTGTGGGTTGTCCCTACGGAAGTCAGCCCGAAGGAAGTTTAAGGAATTAAATATTTTGACTTTGGCAAGTCTGATGAATCAAGACAAGATGATGTTAGTTTTTTCGACTGTGTATTTGCGTGTTGTTCCCACGAGAATGTATGTACGTGCTCCTATTTCACCATGCCTCCTGCTGATAAAGGACAAATCTTTGTTTTAAATTTATTTTATCATTATTAATTACTTAAGATGTCATGTGGAACATGGTGTAATGGTTGCAGCTCCTTCAAACATTGTGTATAACAAAAAACTTGGCGATTAAAAAGAGTGGCGAAGAGTTTATTGCCAGTTCATGTTTTCCGTTCTACGCCCTTGATTTGAGAACTGGCAGTAAATGTAAAATTAGAAGCATTTCATATATATTTATTTTTTGACGTTCATAAGTGTACATTTTGTTACGTATATGAATAAATGAATTTTTTGAATGCTAGATTTTTTAATTGCATAGATTGATAAATAATTCTCCAGATGCATAAATTTTATTTACTTACTATTTTTTTTAAGTTACCATATGATAATGACAGGTCTGAACTGTATAGTGTATATTGTCATGTATAAGCGTGTACCATGTATAAAATAAAATGTTTATTATGGAATATAACATATATATCACTTATCCCACGGCATTAAATTTGTATCGGTAGACATCCCTACTCATCGGCAAAGAAAACAGAGGGTGTAGGCCGAGAGAAAAAGCCGGTGTAAAAAAAATCGGTACTCTTTTAAAACAGCAAATCATCATACAAAACAACACTTATTTTAAAACAAATATCGCAAATTAATTATTAGAAGAACCCTGTCTAGCACTAGTCCCAGGCCCTTTTATCATTATAATATAAATAAAAGTGTGTGTATGGTCTGAGTTCTGAGTGAGTATGGCCTGTCTGTGAATAGCTTATGTCTGAGTCCTGTTTGTATGGTCAGTGTGTGTGTCCTATGTATGACGTATGTATCCTATCTTTGTATGGACCCTTAATGTCTGCAAGAATTATTGTTTTGTGAGGTATTTAGGGTGTGTGTCGGTCACAATGTACGGATAAGTTCCAAATTAGCTATTTATTACTTATTGGTAGGATAAACACTATTGTTGCGTTTCACGACTGTCAGATAGCGCTATTCGTCACATAAAGTCCATCATAAGTTATGAGTCCGATGAACTGTCAAATAGCACAATAATTTATCTTCCAAATAATTTATGTGTTGCATAGCTGTGGTACTTTATCCATACATTGTGAAACAGACCCTTAATGTCATTTAGGGTCTGTTTCACAATGTACGGATAAGTTCCAAATTACTTTTTTACTTATTGGTAGGATAAAAACTATTGTTGCGTTTCACGACTGTCAGATAGCGCTATTCGTCACATAAAGTCCATCATAAGTTATGAGTCTGATGAACTGTCAAATAGCACAATAATTTATCTTCCAAATAATTTATGTGTTGCATAGCTGTGGTACTTTATCCATACATTGTGAAACAGACCCTTAATGTCATTTAGGGTCTGTTTCACAATGTACGGATAAGTTCCAAATTAGCTATTTATTACTTATTGGTAGGATAAAAACTATTGTTGCGTTTCACGACTGTCAGATAGCGCTATTCGTCACATAAAGTCCATCATAAGTTATGAGTCCGATGAACTGTCAAATAGCACAATAATTTATCTTCCAAATAATTTATGTGTTGCGTAGCTGTGGTACTTTATCCATACATTGTGAATGTCATTAAATGATTTTTCCTGCCAACGAAGACACTATAATTTAAAATAAACGACATAGCCTGAATTTATTCAATTTGTAAAATTGTATTACCTTATTAATTCACGAATATACATACTTTGTCTGCAAGTTACATTGAAAACAGTTTAGTGGTTTTGACATTATGAAACGTAACAAGCGCATATGTAATTATAATTTAGTCCAAATTAAACCCGTCTGTAGCTCGTGCAAACACCTTTATTAGGGCATGCCATAAGCCGTAGTTTAATTAAAGGTAACTAGAAAAATATATAAGTTTTTTTAAATTATCTGTACAAGAATGGGCCTGCTTAGTTTATCTAATATATAAAATTCTCGTGTCACAATGTTCGTTCCCATACTCCTCCGAAACGTCTCGACCCATTCTTATGAAAATTTTATCCATATTCATAGTCTATCATAGTCAGTCTGAGAATCGGCTACTATCTATTTTTCAAACCCCTAAATATTAAGGGTGTTCCCACACTTTTTATTTTTTAGAAAAGAATTGTGTTTTTTTTTGTGTACAGCATACAAAACTACATACAACCCTTATATATTTTATTTTCTCCCTTCTAGGATTAACCCCTATTTTTTATTTGTAATTAAAACTTATGAAACGAGGTTTATATAGAGAAAAATTCACAGAACAACCTAAAACGTTTTCATTTCGGAAAACCGAACAGTCTCTGGGGTAGCATAGCAAAATGTTCCATGTTGGTATGTATGTACTAAACAGGTAGGCTTAATAACATCACATTAAGGAGAAACGAAGTTCGCGGGAGCAGTAAGTATTACCTATAATGTTCTGTGAAGCAGTATCAACGATGTCCCGTTTATATAAAACATCTACAGTACATATATATTTATACACAATAGGGTTCTCATAGCCCACAGGCGGCACCGTGAATCGCGTGCGCAGAGTTTATTGATTTACCCTCCCTTCCCCCAAACCGCACAACCCTCAGCACCAACGCAACCCCCTCGTTGATTCCACTACCTCACCATTACTGCAGATTATATATACGTATAGATCATAGTTTAGTCACGTATGGAAATTGCTTCATCGAACCCAGAATTAGATCATTGTCGGGGTATAGTAAGTAAAAATAAACATTTAAGATAACTGTAATCCACATATTATTATTATATTTCTTAGATAGAACATTGATTTATTATCCAAATATAATTGCGATGTTAGCCCTAATAAATTATTATAACCAAAATAAAGTTCATATTCGCTTTACTATATCGGCCTAACACACCTATAGATCGGTTTCCAAGCACAGAAACGAGGTTAACAAAAATCGGTTATACGAAATATAAGCCTTAGTGCCTTCATGTTTTGGTTGAAATTCCTGCATTGGTACATTTCAAAAATTAAAGTTATTTTATGGTTACTAAAATACGGAAATCAAGAAAGAAGGACATCAAATTTTTAATAAGATATGAATTTGTATTTGGCGCCTGTTTATATTAATAATATTTTTTGAAGTTATACTTCTTTAGGCGCGTTATGAAAAATTGATGGGAGTGAAATTTTACGATGCGCGCGCACCGTGACACAAAATTATTGAAGTTATACTTCTTTAGGCGCGTTATGAAAAATTGATGAGAGTGAAATTTTACGATGCGCGCGCATCATGACACAAAATTAACAGAATGAAGTTGCCCACTAAATCGGAATCTCTGTTAGTGGCGCATGTTGGCACGTACGCCGCCTCTGTTCACTGTGTATTTATATTTATAATATTTATCCACATGCTTTGAGTTTCTACATTTAAAACACGTGTTTTCATTTTGTTTTCATTATACAAGTGCGAATTTTATATGTGCGTCTGAATTATAATCAGAAGTGATTTAAATTGAATACTTATCTAAAATATTTGTGAAAAAAACTGTGCTCATCAACCTTCCTAAGTGCTTCAATACAGTTGAGGTTAACTATCCGTATGTATTATTTAGTAACATAAATGACAAAATTATTATTTAATATAATTCATACTAAGTATTATTAAATTATTAACGTTAAATATTTAAAAAAAAATAATTAATTTAATAAAACATTAATTGAAAAATTTGTGATAAAAAATTAAAATGAACAACATCAAATTTAAATATTAATTTTTAATAAAATAATAAATCATTTTTATTAATAATTGAATAATATAATACTAAATATTATTAAATTATTAACGTTAAATATTAATTATTAATTATTTAATATTTTAAAAAATAAATTGAATAAATAATAAATATTTAAAAAATGATAAATATTTAAAAAATTAATAAATTCAAATACAATTTTCAAATTTATCAATAAGTTCATTCATTGACTCTTGAAATATGAATTAATTATTAACAAATAAATATTTTAAATAAAGAATCCTGTAATATGTAGTACAAATGATGCCATATATATATATATATATGGCATCATTTGATATATATATATATATATATATATATAAAAATATATATATATATATATCGACGTAGGAAAGCATAACTAATAATAGCTGTAAGTAGACAAATTACCTAAAGTGACTTTTTACTGCCATTAGAATCAGAAAAAAAAACCGCATCGAATGTCCCGGGTCCTGTGTCTCTACGATGAAAAAAAAATTACATACGCGGTTGAAAACGCCCGTACTTATATTTTTTTAAGTAAGATTAAATGCTGTATGTAGACCAAAATCCAGTCATTTTAGACAATTTGTACTTACAGCAAAAGAAAAACTGCATTTTTTTCTTTACAAATACTTACTTCTTCCCATTTAAAAACTTAACGCTACTTACAGCATTTCTGCGGCGTGTGATTTTTACATTCGTTTACTTACAGCAAGTTTAGGGAACCTACAGTTTTAGTTTTTTTTACCATTTACGACATTTTATTTCAACCAAACATTACATTACCAAATGACCCACTGCATTTCTAGATCTAATCATAATTATAAACTAATCTTACATCTTGAATTGCAATTGAAAGTACCCAAATACATAAATTTACTGCATACAGCATATTTACCGCCTGTTAATTGATAATATTTCCGCGCGTACATTTTTCTTCCTTAGTTACAGCGTTTTAAAGGTTTGTGATTTAAAAAACTGTATGCTGTAACTAGCCAAACACGTACTTATAGTAACTTTGTATAAAAAGTTTATATTGCAAATGGTGACTGGCAGTTAAATAAATATATGTTTCAAAAATGGTAGCAATATCATGGATAGGTTCTACACTATTAATTTTTTTCCGAAATTAATTAAGTTTTTTGGCTCTGGTGAACAATTGCAATATGTCTACTTACAGCAAATATGCTTTCCTACGTCGATATATATATAATATATATATATATATAATTGAATTATTTAATGTCAATTTTTAATATTTATTATTAATTTATCATTCTAAGAGTTTTTTTCGCTTACATTTGATGACTATTAATGGTACTAAGTACAATTTCTTTTTCAGATTTCAAGATGGTTAACACAAATGCGGAAAATAGTAAAAACTATTACTGGCGAAAAAAAGCTGCCAAGGAAGCTGAAATGGCTCGTCAAGGCTTGTCAGTAAACAAGCCAATAAGAAAAACAGCAGCAGAACGTAATCGTGCCTATAGGCTGCGAAAAAAAATGCTTTCACAAGTAGAAGAATCATCCGTGGCTGAGATTTTATCCACACCGTCAACTTCAAGTTCACGAATAAGGACTTTTGCGCCATCATTTCGGTTAGCTACCATCAGTGCTAATTAATTTATTAATTATTTGCATGCAATCAAACACTATTTTTAATAATGCCAAAGAAGTATAACTTCTTACGCGCGTACATAAGCACGCACCCTTTTTTTCTAAGCTTCTATCATCTATGCTTTTATAAATTTTAACAATACTAACCGATTATAATTACGAAATCAAGATGCTAATAGCAAATTTAATTAACACAGATTAGTACTTTGTTTACAAATGCAGTCTAGATACCTAGACTTTTTGAATATTATTTTTACTTTATTCTTATTTTCATTTATATTTACTCACCTCTCAGTTAAACATGTATTCTGAGTGCTGAGCCGTTTCAATAAACATGTATGTATTAATTATAATAAGTAATATAAAGCTTTCGGCTTTGTCAAATATATTATAAAAATCTGCGTAGACAAAAACAGGCGCGTGTTTTTGAGTTCGTTGACCTTTTTATTAGTTTTACAGCAACTTGAGCAAATCGTCCTATTAAATTACATTATGTTTTACGAGTGACCCTTTTTCGTGTAAAAAAGTACAAATAGTTTAAATGTGTTTTTTCAACTCTAAAAATTAAATTAAATCGCATAAATATTAAAATTTATAAAAATTTAATTACATCGCAAAAGTATTAAAATTTCTATCATGGTGTGACCTATCCTAAAATTTAAAATTAAATAGAGTCTAGGGAGTTTGCGCATGGACAGCGTGGATTCGTGTTGGCGCGGTAAGGCGGGCGCTGTCGCCGCTTCAAGAATCGCGTGGCGTGCCCTATGGTACGCGCACGCGCGCGCATCCGACGCTTTGCGTAGCCCCCGCCGAACAAACACGAATCGCGACGCTAACCGTCGATCGATAAGATAAACGCGCAACCCCGCTTCTATGCGCTGAATCAATACCATTTTCATCGATTTTCATAGCCGCAGCCGCCGCACACGGAATTTGAGGGTCGCAAGCGGTGGTTGCGCGCAGTTTACTTGTGTCACGCTGTAGTTTAGTGAATATTTTAATAAATTTTACACCTATTGATTTTATTAAACCAACTACAGCTAGATCTTCAATAAAATTTAAAAGGTAAACATTTTTTTTTAAATTTAATTACAATAATATCAATTTATGTATTTATGTCGTACTTTTACATGCATTTTTCTTAATACAATTAAATGTACTTAGGTAATAGGTATACATATTTTAAAATAAATTTAAAAAATGCTACTTTTGTATTTACTATTTCGAAACTATCCAAAGACATTTACATTTAATATACTTATTTATTATAATGAAAAGTGATTGCTTAGTGGTTAAGCGTACGATTGTCAATCGTAAGATCGTGCGTTTAAGCCCTGACTTTTCACCAATACATTTTTTTAGCATGTGCGCAATGAACACATGCTCGTGCGGTGTAAGGAAACATAAGCATTTCATAAACCCAAAAATTTACGACCTGTATAAGGCATAGAAAATATCAAACAAATACATCACAAATAAATAAAGCAGAGGTGTAGCACTTTTGCATTATTAGTATTTATTGCAAGATAACATTGTTGACAGCGATGAAATATGTCGATAATATGCAATGCAATTTATGAAAGAATATATTGGTTATATATTTCACGGTCAAGTTCCAAAAATCAACAACTTACGATTGATGTTATTTGTTTGGGGCTATCGGCTGCCAAATGCCGATTGCCGACTGCCGAAAAGCTTAGGTATATTTTTAATCAATCAAATTACTGATGACAATTGACATTTTCGATAGTGACAAAAATTTCAAATTCCAATTTATCCGCCGTTACTCCGTTTAGAATGTTGGCGGTTAGAGTTTGTGTTAATAAAAAATGGTTATAAATCTATTACAGATGGAGTAAACTTGAGAAGGAAACATTAAAAATGACATCGACTGACACATATCAGTTAAAATGGCATTCTCACAGCTCCCATTTAAATGGTTCCGTAGCATCGTTGCTACGCTCGGAGCGATTTACGGATGTGGTCCTTTGCACCATGGATGGGTCTCAGATACCAGCCCACAAATTCATCCTCAGTTCATGCAGCGTCTACTTCAGCGGTCTTTTCGAAGGACAACGTTCTGTAACGCGTATGGGGGGAATACTGTACGTAGTACTGCCGTCGGAGATATCCACTAAAGCCTTGAAGATTCTCGTAGAGTACATGTACAAAGGTATAGAATTTTCATTATTGTTTATTTTAATGTATTGTAAGTAAGTAAGTAAATATTTACAGTTTCCCTTGTAAATTAAGGATCTGCAATAGTTTTTCTTATTTAAACTTCATTAAGTATATTAATTTAATATAATTACTTATTTTTCTATTAATATTTGCCGGTTTAATTATTATAAATTAATATTTGCAGGTGAAACCACAGTCTCTAATGAAGTGTTAGACATAGTATTAAAAGCAGGAGAAGTGCTCAAAATTAGGGGATTATGGCGTCAGACAGATGAGATTGGGGGTGATTCTACACCTGCTGAGAAGACCACTACAATCCCATCATCTGCTAAGCAAACAGAGAAAACAAAAGAAGTTACCAAAATAGCTTTAAAAAAAGATGAAAAAATTCTCAAAACATTTAATCCAATTCAGGGCCAGGGTGGGAGGTGTGTAATTTTTTTATGAAATTTATATCTTCTTATTGTTACACAACTTGAACAAGAACATTTGCATGTTATTTTTATAACTTAGTTTTATAGGATAGAACTTTAAAAAATCATGATATCTGCTAGACACAGTAAGCAATATACCTTGTGTAATAATTTTCAGACCAATGTTTATTGGCCCTCCAAAGTTGGTTTTCATCAAAACAAGTGATGGTACTACTCAAGCTGCTATAAGACCTGCTGTACCAGGAACCAAAGGTCAGACTATACTTGTGACCCCTGCTCCAGCTAACACGGAAACCACTACATCCACTATCACAATGCCCACACCAACTATCAGCTTGGCTTTAGATGATGCAGAAGAAGGAATTCCAGCTAGGGTTGTAAAAAGAAATGTTGTAGAAAAGAAATATGGGAAGAAACAAAAGGTGGAGACTTCGGAAGCAGTTAAAGATGATGATGCCGGCTCCGTTAGTTCAAGTAAGCACTATTTATAATGTAAATAAGACTGGTTTTTATATGTTATTTCAGTCAGAGTTTTTGGTAAATGACACAAACTATTAAAGTTGTATTATAAGTAATTTAATCTTCATAACAAAGATAATATGGAAGGGTGAGATTCTCAGACGAGACTTAATGCTAAGTATGACCAGGGCCAGATTTAGGGGAGGGCAACCAGGCCTACTGCCCCGAGGCTACTACTTACTACTAGTAAATAAATTGTCTTTTGATATATTTTTATATGTTTGTTAAATTTTAAAAGAACTTGGTTTCACAATAAATTATTTATTGCAGTACTCTACTGAATTTTAATTTTAATTTTATTTGGATGAATAATTTGGGGCCAGGGGGGCCTCCACTCTTTTGTTGCCCGAGGCCTCCAGACCTCTAAATGCAGCCCTGGGTAAAAAATAAAATAAAATATGTTTATTATGGAACATAAGATACATGTATCACTTATTCCACGTCATTAAATTTGAAGGCATCCCTACTCCTCGGCAAAGAAGACAGAGGGTGTAGGCCGAGAGAAAAAGCCGGCGTAAAAAACTCTCGGTACTCTTTTAAAACAGCAAATCATCAAACAACACTTATTTAAAACAAATATCGCAAACTTAATTAGAAGTAGCCTGTCTAGCACTAGTCCCAGGCCCTTTTATCAACTAGATAATCTTTGACTTTATAGTAAGCCTTTTTACACAGCTTTTCTTTAATACATTTCTTAAATTTATTGAAAGGCAGTGATAAAAGAGCCTCTGGGATTTTATTAAAGAAGAGTATCCCTTTCCCCAAAAAAGAATTACTAACTTTAGATAGTCTAGTACGGGGAAATTATGACTTATGATTATGATGGTATGACTCCAGTATGTCAAAAAATTGAGTTTGGCATCTCAAAGCTTAAAATGTTTCATAGCTTTAATGATGTTTTATATTTTTATACAACACATTCAAATATAAATAAGTAAATTTTCTTTTTAAATAACCAAATTTTATAATATTTACAGAGAAATCAAGTCAAAGTAATTCAGCTGTGGAAGTCCATGTGAAAGAAGAGCCAGAATGGGATGCAAGCAGCATTGAGGAAGAAGAGAGATCCATCGCAGAGATGTTCCAAGCCGAGATGAGTGTCAAGTCGGAGCCATGTGATGATGTAGAAGTTGAAGAAGAGGGACTGGTGGGATTTCCTATGCTGTAATATTTTTACTCATATAGGACTGGCTTTCCTATATAGGTCTTTAAGACCCAAGACCATTTATTTTGTATTTGATAAATTAATAAATAAAATAGACACATTCTATTGCCCTTGGGTTAGGAAGACTTGTTTTAAAATAAAATTAATTTCAGCTCTACAGTCCATTGTCATGTGAGCTATGCGCTGAAGTGTTCTCGGTGCCGGCTGCATGGGTCAGGCATGTGCAGCATCATGCGGACCAAGATGATCATCATGCTCGGAAGAGAAAACGGAGATCAGATGTTAGTGAGATTTGATTGTTTTAATACTTTAAGGCTAAAGATGTGTATCTCAAGAAATGCTTATGATATAGTCCATTTATCGAAGAAGGCTATATTTTATACAAAATCTGCTATAACTAAAGAATCAAATATCTTATTCTTAAAAGGCCGGCAACGCCTTCGCGAGCCCTCTGGCATTGAGATTGTCCATGGGCGGCGGTATCACTTAACATCAGGTGAGCCTCCTGCCCGTTTGCGCCCCGTTCTATAAAAAAAAAAACATATAAAAGGAGGTTTAAAGTAATGGCCAAAATTATGAAGTACCATATTCGTATCTCTAAAACAAGTTTAGCCTCAGTGTGTGCGTCTCATCCCTGAGGTCGTAGATTCGAAGCCCGGCCGTCCACCAATTGACTCTTGGTCTACGTGCATATTTGACACTCGCTCGTAAGGGAGCGTTCAAGTATTACGTCATGCAATTTTTGGAAATTATTGACCCCCCCCCCCATGTAACGCGCCGTAACGTTTACTGTACTTGGGTACAGAAAAACGTTTCGTGACCACCTAGTGACTCTTTATACCTAAAAGTTACCATTATGTGGTGTAAAGTACTAAAATGTCGAAAATAATATTAACAATAACGCGTAATTCAATCCCCGCCCCGCATCGTAACGTTTTATAAAAGCAAATCTGATTACGTAATAATACTTGAACGGCGGCTATACCTAAAAGGTTTTCTGAGATTTTTTAAATAATAATTACTATACGATATTACAATTGAAATTGTAGTCAAAACGAAAAATAAATTTCAGAGCGACGACACAGAAGAAACGACAGCTTTACTCCGCTGTGACCTTTGTCAGAAACATTTCCCGAACCCAGCGGAATGGGTGAGACACGTACAAAGCTCGCACACGGAGACAGGTAATTATAAAAATATCTTTTTTAGGATTCACCTTCTTATGAGCTGGGAATCGAACTCAGAACCTCGGATTACAAAACCATAAAAATATTTAAATATTTAATTTCCACTAAAGTAGCTACTCCAAAATCCATAGTATATATCCATAATATAATATAATTATTTGTTATATTGTCTATAGAAATGTTGCCATATTATGCAATAGAAGTGTTAGGTTAGCTATTTTATATTGTCTATGCCGTAGAAGTTTGCCTTTTAATACAACATAGCTGAAATCTGATTGTTATGTATGTGGCCAATTCTTGACACTCATGATAATCACTTCAGTTATGTTTAACATGTGTTGCCATTTTACATTTATTTTTTGCAGTAGTAAATTAAATGGCAACATTAGCCAGAGTTGCCATTTTACATTGATTAATGTGAGTAATTATCGTAAATGATAACATTGGCCAGTGTTGCCATATCACACTGAATACTGCTAGTAATTAATAAGATGGCAACACTGGCCCGAGTGGTCCTAAAGCGTCGGATGTTGGGTTGTCCAGAATTGGCCTTATCAAACAACAGTGAACCACCAAAACGTCACAATCGTTTCACAGACGGCGAGCAAAGCAAGAAATGCGAACAATGCAACAAGAACTTCCCGTCGCATGCCTCCATGCTCATACACTTGCGCACGCACACGGGTTCGTATATTTATTATTTATTAATAATCTTTTTTTTATTATATATAATATATATATATATTATATGCATGTATGTACTTTAATTTGCTGCGACTAAATTCCATGGGATACTGAATTATTGGAGGCTGCAAAAGTGTTTCTATTTGACTATTAAAACATAAATTTCTGTTGTTTTTAATATTATAGACCACAAGCCCATGAACAAAAAATACCTGTGAAATGACCCAACGTGAATTACGCTCAGAAGGCTGTTACTATATCTGAAAATAGCTCTGAGCAATATGCCGTCATTTCTGAGCGGTACATGTGAGTACGTGAGTGAATGGACTTTCTCAGGTACAATTGGGGAATTTCGACTAATTATTAATGTACGGCTTTGTTATAAGTGTATAGATGATTAAAAATAAATGTCGAAAAACCTAGTGCCGTACTAAAGTGATGGTGCCGGAAGTCGGTGCAAATTTTTAATTCGACGACAGTTGCAGAAGCAATATAGGTCATTTATTACTGTACGGCATTTGTGTGATTCCTTTTGGACACATATACAGATACTTTACCCGTAAACGCCGTACATATTTCCAGCGGAGCGGTCGAAAGCCAAGGGTCGCAACATATGTCTAATTAGCATATAGGTGATGATGATATAGAACAACATAAAATTAAATGATCTTGAGAGTACTTCACAAATAGATAACATTTTCCAGCATGCCGTACATTTTTTGTGGAACACATAGGTGTATGGGGTAAATTACTTTCCTCAGAAAAGAGTCATTTTCCGGTGACTTTTATCTGTACGGCAATAACACAGGTTATTAATACTTTAGACCATCTTCAATAAAAGATAAATGCCGTACACTTTCGATAATCCGCTAGTCTGTGAAATGGCAGATTATACCACCTCCTACCAATACAGGGCGTCCCAAAGTTATCGGACATGAAGGGAAAGTACCTTAAATATCGTAGATAGGGTATTTTACTAAAAGAAGACTTTATGTTATTTTTAAAAGTTAGTCATTCTGCATTCAAAGATTTTCTAAAAATTACTTGCCTCGTCTGGGAATCGAACCGACTTATATGTAAAAAAAAACACCCCTACTTTTATGATGCCAATCAAAAGAATGGCCAAAAACTAATAACTCTTCTTAAGAAACAGAGTATTTTAAAAAAAAGGAAAAGGGGTGAATATATCTTTTTAATCAAATTAAAAATATTTCTATCGTACGGCCTAAAAATCCCTACGAGTCTGTTATTTTGAAAAGTTATTAGGTTTTGGCCATTCTTTCGATTGCAACAAAAAAGAAGGGGTTTTTTCCCCTTTTTTTACATATAAATCGTTCGACCAATTCATTTGAATGGCAAAAACTTTTAATCAATAACTAAAGTCTTTTAAGTAAACAGATTATTTTAAATGAAAGGTCCTTCCATTCAAATCCCAAAACTTTAAACGCATTATTTTTGTTAAATATATCTTTTAATCAAATTAAAAACATTATCTATCGTTATTGTACTAATAAAAACTTCAATCAGCTAGAAAATCGAGAAAATGTACGGCATCTGTTGTTTTTTTTTGTTATACATATTACTCCCCATATTACTCTAGGAATATTTGAAAAGTCATCTAAATTTCGGAAATTTCATATATTTTTTATCATAATATTTTTATTTGTTACCATTTATAATGAACGGCTATAAGGTACAACGGTAACATTATGTAAAAAAACAAGTTGCCGTACATTATTCTCTGATCTTACAGCAGTAAGAACTCGGTAAATCCTGAAATTTCGATAAATATTTATTTACACAAATATTAACTATAATTTTTGGACGGCATAATTATAAAACATTATTGTCCGTGTTAAATAATATTTTGAACATGTTGCCGTACATTTTACAATGACCTTAGGGTATATGGGTGTAGGGGTAGGGTTGCGACCCTTGGGTTGCGACCGCTCCACTGGAAATATGTACGGCGTTTACGGGTAAAGTATATGTATATGTGTCCAAAAGGAATTACACAAATGCCGTACAGTAATAAATGACCTATATTGCTCCTGCAACTATCGTTGAATTAAAAATTTGCACCGACTTCCGGTACCATCACTTTAGTACGGCACTAGGTTTTTCGACATTTATTTGTAATCATCTATACACTTATAACAAAGCCGTACATTAATAATTAGTCGAAATTCCCCAATTGTACCTGAGAAAGTCCATTCACTCACGTACTCACATGTACCGCTCAGAAATGACGGCATAGTGCTCAGAGCTATTTTCAGATATAGTAACAGCCTTCTAAGCGTAATTCACGTTGGGTCATTTCACAGGTATTTTTTGTTCATGGGCTTGTGGTCTATTACTAAAGAAAATTAAAAAAAAGTAAGTCATCAATAATTATAATATTATTACTAACTTTTTAAATTCATTTATAATATGTACCTGTTTTTAGTATTTATTATTTGATAATAAAATAATTATTTTTGTATTATTACTATCGTTCAAGGGTATTACTATCCCATCCCAAAAAAATTCATCAATTTTTCCCGTTTTAATTTAAGTACTCTGTTCTCTTTTCATCACAGCTAGAACATAATGTGACAGAAACAGACGAAACGACTTTAGTTAAAAGAGGACAATTGGACTGATTAATTTTTATTAAAAAAATATTTAAATTTATATATATATTATAGGCGAACGCCCATTCGTATGCGGGCTCTGCAACAAAGGCTTCAACGTGAAGTCCAACCTGTTGCGCCACCTGCGTACGTTACACGACCAAGTGGTGAGCCCCACTGAGCTCGATGAAGCTGGACCTTCGGAGCTGAAGAAGGAAACCTGAGCCAGGGGAGGAGGGGCAGGTAATTAACATTATGGTCTCTTAAATGTCTTTTTTATGTGTAATGTAAATGTTTTTTTTATTGTTGGAGATTCTAAAATATATTTCGCCAAATTTTAAAAATTAATTTAGGTGTACCAAGTCAAATTGTCTTATTCCACGTTTATCTTTCATTTTTCTTAGCGTATAGAGAATATAATAAAATAAATGGAATGATTATGTAATTAATTTTAATAACTAAAATATTTTTAGTTAGAATTTAAAAAAAATCTTAGCAATATAATCAGCTCGTAATAGGTGAAATTAAAATGTTGCAATAGGAATGAGATTTGAGAGCTTCCCTCAGTTTGTTTGAAATCGCTATCAACCGGTTTCCAGAACTACAGGAGTAGAATTCTTATCATGGTTCATAGACCAGGCTTTTAACACCATACAATCTATAAACGGGAGTGAAACCAGGGGCAAAAAAAGTTAATTAAATCATTTATTCATATAGGTAATCGAAAACAGTTTACACTTATGAACGTCAAAAATGAATGATACATTAAATGCTTATAATTTTACATTTACTGCCAGTTCTCAAATCAAGGGCGTAGAACGGAAGAAAAGAACTGGCAATAAACTCTCCGCCACTCTTTTTAATCGCCAAGTTTTTTGTTTTACACAATGTTTGTAAGGCAACCTTGCACCATTTACAAATTAAGTAATTAACAATAATAAAATTAAAAACAAAGATTTGTCGTCCTCTAGCAGCAAGAGGCATGGTGAAATAGGAGCACGCACTTACATTCTCGTTTGAATTGATAAATTCCTCTTTTGTCTTTGAAGTCGGTTAATAAACACACGCATGACAGGCAGAGGTCGCGGTCGTCCGCCTCTTTCGCTGAGCGCCAGTCGCAAAGGCGGCGTGGGCCGAGGCGACGCACTTCGCAAGCAGAGCTACTCGCTCTTCCTCAAGCAGCGGGCCGTTCTCTTCTCTGCCAAGAAGTGGAAATAGCACCGCTCGTACCGTGAGACGCTCATTTAATTTTGTACTTTAATACTTTGTTTTATGATACAATTAATAATCATATACTAAATAAGTTTATTGAACTCCATTTAGATCTGCCTTATTCATATTCAACAACGGTAAGACTTAAATGTCATACATACTGAGAAATTAAAAAGCTAATAAGTAATTGTGCACTTTGGTAAAATCTGAACAATTTTAAATTGAGCTGTAACAAAATTGTGAGTGTCTCAAGGTAGAAGCGGGAATTATCTGCCCCTCCTCCCTTTTTAATTTTAAGAGTAAATTATTTTTATATCTAGTCTACTAGATCTCATTTCTTAGACAAGTAGTCATTTAAATATAGTTTTAGGTTAACTTTGGTTTTAATACTAATATAATATCCAAAGAATTGTTTCGTTGTTGAACGAATGTCAACTGTTTTTAAACTTTATGTGACAATTGCATGACATTTAGATTTTAATTTTGTCATAGAGACATTAATTTTATTGAAGAAACTTATTTTATGTTCTAACATTCCTATGTGTGGTACTTAATTTAATACTCATGTTTAACATGTATTTGTACTATTTTATAAAATAGTGAAGAGAAATAAAATTCAGACATTACAAAAATTGTTTTATTATCTTACACAATAATAGGCACTGCGGTATTGATATCTTAGTACTATTGAATAAGGTTCACAAAGAAGTTTATAAAAGAGGAAATCACAGTTTCCATTTATTATGAATTAACTTTGTGAATTATATGATTTGTATTAAAAGTGGAATGACAGTGGTATCAGCCTTGAACACAATGGTTGTCTAGTTATCATCTTCCTCAATCTTAGGTGCTAAGTAGTAACGGATATGTCCAATATCTGGGATACGGTATTCCACAACTAAGGGTACATCGGCTGACATTGACAGTTGTACCTGAGAGGAAATAATAAAAATTTGTACTCAATTTTGTCTAAAAAGATCAATGGATAGGCCATTGAAGGATTTAAAGAGGACTCTAATTTAACTTGTATCCTTAAATTGGATATTTAATTAACATAGTCACCTGAGGACTGAGTGAAGTGGCCTTTGTGAAATAGTTGAGGTATTGACAAGCAAAGGTAAGTGTGACAGGCTCGTCCATTTCTATAATGACAGCTTCGTCTTCCTTGTCTATTGATGCTGTCTGAGCTAACTTTATGTTAGCAGAACCAATATCACCACTTGTTGAGAACTTTACACCTGTAAATAGAATAGATTTTGTTAAGTAGATTGGCCTGACCACCTATTGGCAAAAACAAAAAAGAAATGCAGGCACGTCTCACTTAAACTTTATACTGCATATTGGCTATTTATAACAATATTATGCATGTTAATAAATGTAAGATAAATCATGTAAAATTGTATACAACATTTTACGAACCTTCTTTGGTGCATGAGATAACAATAGATTCTCCAAACTGTGACAGATCTCGACACATGCGTGCAAACTCTGCACTGGGCATACGAATTGTGCAGCTATACTCAGTCTCAGGTATACCTGTAGAAAAGTATAAAAAATTAACAATTAATTACACCAAAATTGGACTAAAGGATACTTCCCTCTTATAAGATATATGTATATACATATTAGGGGGTGTCCATAAATTACGTGAGGTGTTTTTTTAAATTTTCTGTACCTCCCTCCCCCCCCTGGTGAGATGTCGTGAGATTTTATTCAACCCCATCCCCCAATCTCACCTGAGATTTTTCAAAATGTGGGTTTTTTACGTAAACGCGTTGGATTGTTATTGAAAAAAGAAAAAAAATTGCTTTGTACTTTTATTTACCACTAAAACAAAATAAGTGAAATGTTGACCGTTTAGATATGGAGTTAGCGGGAAGTTGCAGAGATGGCCTTTAGGGCCAACCGTTTTCCTAAAAATTGCGTGATATTTGCCGGGACCCCCCCTCTCTCCAACGTAAGATTAAATGAGATTTGACTCGACCCCCTCCCCCCCTTTAAACACCTCACGTAATTAAGTAATTAACATACCTAAATGCTCTAGATCCAGATTCATAAGTTTCATTTCATAGTCAGAAACTTTTTCTTGGTTTGGACTTTCAAAGACAAATGTAACTGTGTCAGCATTGTCTTGGGCCTTCATAGTAACCGTATCTTTGTCTCCAGCACATTTTAAGATTTTTGTCATACTGCAACATTATAAATGTTATATATTATATATATAAGCCTTTATTCTTAAATATGAATTTTAAAAATTAAAAAGCTTGAGATACTAGTTAGATAATAAGGGCATCAAGAATATCATTATATAACAATTTTGGGGAATAAAGAAGTTACTTGAATTATTAAAACCCTGTAATTAACTTTCAGAAACTATTTATATGAAAAGAAATGTTATGTTTTGTCTTTTCATAAACAACTATAATTCTCTATAATGCAATAAAAAGTGTTGCCCTTTCAGCATTACTAAACCATACAAGTTAAGGTCTAGGGTTGTTAAATATTGCCCTGGGGATAGGAGCTGTAGATCTTGTGTAATTTGGTAGTTTTTACCGATTTCTTACATTTAAGAACTTTGACTTCATTTTGAGGCCAGTTCCTGTTTTAAATGTTAATAAATGATGACCTTTATTTTAAAGTAAAAATGAAATGCATGCATTCCAAAAATATTGTGTTAAGCATACCTGCCAAGATTCATGCCCATTGTTACATTTCTATCACACCGGTACTTGTCGAATCCATCTGCCCTTAATAACAGTGATACTAATGCAACGTGGGAGTTGTCCATAGCCTGTAAAAAAAATTGAAGACTTTGCAAATAATATATTTGCATCATTTATAGCACTGAGCAAACTTTTACTTTGTTGCTGTCCATTTGTATAGTAATGTATGTAACATTTGACCACAATTTTAGCCATTTACCAATTAAAAATTGAACAACCACATTAGATGGCGCTTTTAAAATTTGTAGATTCTGTATTTAAATCCTAAGATTAATTTTTACATATTTTAAACCAGTGCATACCTGTAGTTGGATTCCATTGTCATCGCAGTCAAAGGTCGCCTGAGTGAGAAGATCTTTGATTGCTTCTAAGACTTTCTTTAAAATAGAGCTTTTAAGTAAGCGTGCTTCGAACATTTCGTTTCTGTAATAGAAGAAATGTTGTCTAAGTCGTCATTTTACAACGCGGTAATGGACGTGTAACTAAAGCCGTAACGGAAAATGTAAGAAAGTTTGGTAATACTTTTTTTACTACTACAGTATAAATCACTTTAAATAAGTACTTACGTCTATTGTTAAACTTTATAATGTTAAAATATCAATAGCTGTTGAGATTAAATAATTCCAACTGGAGTTGCTGACCGCTTACAAAGACGCCGGATTTCGCTGACAGCGGCGAAAAATACCGCGAAAATCATAACTTGACAGATATTGTCTATGGTGCATTCTATCTACTCTAGATTTTATGCCTAAATAAATGTGCGTTCATAAACTAATATTTTAATTTTTTTTCAAAGGTACGTTTATAAAATAAATCAAACATCTAATATTTATAGTTTAATTTATTAAAATAAAATAAAAATCATAATTAGGATTCACAGCAGTATATATATTGTTACGAGCTAGGGGATCGGATAGAAAACGCCGTCGATTTCTTCAAGGGTTTATTTCTAAATAAATTAACGAGGAATTTGTTTACACTAAAAACTGGAAATTACGCACAAAAATTCACTAAATACACACAAAATACTGTCACTAATTACTTTAATTACACGCACTTCACACAGTATTTTATCACTTGTCTTCACTATATTCGCACTTTATCACTTCGGTGTTTATCTCTTGATATCGCATTCAAAGCTGAACTCACTGGTCCAAGCCGTTGCTATTACTACACACTCCCTCTAGAGGGGTGCGTTCGGGGCTATGCCCCCTTCGGGTGGAGTGTTGTCTCGCGCCCTGCTAATACAGGGCGGTGCGGGGTCGAGATTATATCTCTTGGTGGGGGCTGCAGCGCGCAAGGAGGCGTTGGCCTCGACTCGCTGCGCGCAGCCGATGGGGTCTAATCCGGGGTGTCAAGTCCGGTGGTTAGGGGCCAAGGAGTATTCTCGACTTGGCCCTGGTGTCTTAATAGTTGGTATCGGGCAGCTACGCGGCTCGCGGTCAAGCTCCGCCGGGTGAGACCCCCGGTGGCCCCGGGGGAGGCCCAGCGAGGCGACCAGCGGTCGTAGCCGCGGTTGCTGCCCTGGTGTCTTGTTCGGTGGTTTGGGTATCCGCGGAGAATAGCTCACGCGGATACTTGTACTTGTCAGGTGGCCTGGAGTGCCACGGCGCAATGTCCTTGAGGTGGGGATGTTGAGAGGTCGCGTTTGGCCGCGTTTGGTCGCGTTTCGGCTCGCTTATATATCCCTGGGAATAGTCTTGCAAGTTCGAGAACTCTCTAGGCGGGAGCGCTACTGAGTAGCGATCGCACAATTCTAGAACGTGCGTACTCACTATCTCTCTCGCACATTGCTCCGTCCTTGTCGTACGGTGTTCTAGAGTGCTCGGTCTAGCTTCGAGAAGGTTCCAATCTTCCGTCTCTCTCTCGCATCATTCTGTCCTTGTCCCACACCTAGAAAATTCGTTCTAGACTATTCCTTCATCAAAGGGGTATAACCAGGCCTGAAAACAGGTTTTTTTGAAAAGTATACCACTCGACTACACTTGTTCTGAAACGGCCTGAAAAAATGTAATCGTAATTTACAAAAACTAGGGTAACATTATGTAAATTACGATTTTCTATTATATGTGATTGACCCTCTCCTGAAACGGTTAAAGTGATTTTTGACCGTTTCACACAGCCTGCTGAAAAGTTCTCTAAGTAGAGGAAAAATCAAGAAACATTGCAGTTGACCCGTCTTCGTAACAACATTGTGTACTGCTTCTTTATTTAAATAAATTATGAAACCACAATAAAATAAATTACATAATAATTTAGCTTAATTCAACAACTTGATCTTGATTAGAGTATGGAGGGAGAGTCAAGTTATATTTTTGTAAAATAGCAGGAGGAAGGAATCTGCCACCCAAAAAATGTCGAGCATTTTTGATAAATTCTGGCTTTGCACATTTCTTTGGCGCAGATAGGGAAATTATTAATGTTGGCTTCAATGCAGAATCTGAATCTGGACCTGTTTCTACATCCCATCCACTTGGGATATCCACACTAAAATAAAAATAAAACATTTTTAATACCATAATACCAACTAACATGTTTATACTTATTTAAATGTTATATTCTTAGTCTTATTTGATTCATGTTATGTATAATGTTTAATTTAGCTAAAAACTATGGTTTCATAGATACCAAAATGTAATTTCTTTCAGTTGTAAACTCTAACTACAAACCTACCTACAAACAGGTAATCCAGAGTAAATTAAGGCATCTAATGCTGGTTTTAATGCATCTCTCACTGGAGGTTTAAAACTAAATCCAAATAATGCATCTACAACCAATTTGTAATGATTCTTCAATTCATTAGATGGAGGGAGGTTATCCATAATATTAACCCCAAACTTCTCACATTGCCTTAACAAATTATCATATAAGGGTTTAGGAGTTCTTTTTGGATAGTATACTGCTACAGAATAGCCAAATAATGTCAAGTGTCGAGCAGCTACCAACCCATCACCACCATTATTGCCAGGTCCACAAACAATTAGTGCTGTATTACAACTGTAAAAAGATATAAATTCTACTAAATAAGTTATTGCAGTTCATTAAGTAAATAAATAAAGTAGTAGATCTTAAAATAGTATCTTACGAAGTCACTGGATAGACTTTGGCTACTGCTGTTGCAACACTTAATCCAGCTAATTCCATAAGTTGATCTACACTAAACTTATATTCATTGAATAAGTCCTGATCTAAAGCTGCAGCGTCTTCTTGACTTAAATAAGATATATTTCTTGTAAGGTCACTACATGTTTCTCCAGTACAAGCCATTTTGCTGTAACTCCAAGTATTTGTAATCCTTAACTAGAAAAATATACAATGAATTTTCATATACGGTTTGAAAATTGTTATAAAATAATGTTTATAATTATATACATGAAATCAGTAATTGTTACAATAATCAGAACCATGATTTTTTAAAATAATTTATTATTCTCCTTGTCTAAAATCTAATAAATGTCCGACAATAAAAAAAAGTTATTTAAATATTGAATAAACACATCTGCGTACCAATAAAACGGTTCTAATTAATTTATTGACTAACATTGAGATTATTACACAGGAATAATAAAAGCTTTGGTCTTTGTGTTTTTATGATAACATTAAACATATCCGGTCTTAGTAATAAAGATTTATGCACATTGTATAAGCCTGTTATAAGAAAAATGTTACTAATAATTCCTGAATTGACAAGTTTGATGTATACGGTTGTTATAACAAGTGTCTGGGTTGTATGAACTATGAAGACTTGTACAATGCTTATTAGGGATGTGAAAAAATAATCGATTATTAAAAAAATCGATTTTAATAGATTTTTTTAAAAGTAAAAATCGATTTTTTTACGCGATTTTTATATTTAAAATAATCGATTAATAATCGATTATTTTTATAATTGCAAATCAATCATAATCGATTTTTTATCTGCCACCTCCCGATATTATGTCTGGTCTTTTATAACCCGGACCTCGAACTATTAGGGATATTCGATACACAATGATGTTTACAATGCAATACATTGAATCCGATTCTTTGAAGATGTATTGATATACTCGATACATTGATGTTTTTTTGTAAAACATCAAAAGGATGATAAAAGCAGTTAATTTTACAAAAACTCAAGTTTGAATGGAATACTATAATTTAAAAGTAAAATAAATTTATTCAGCAGAACAAGACAACATACAATTAAAAAGGCAACAAAAATACTGCAATGTGCTACTGAAAAGGAATACACTCAGCATTTATCAAAATCTATCAAAACGAGATTAAGTTAATTTCGATTTTGATTATTCTTAAACGTTAATTTGTGTTTATAATTTCTATTGTTTATATTTAATTAAAAAACCATGAAAAATAAAATATTTAGGGTGTTTATTTTGAAATTAATTCAAAAATTAGGAAAAAAATCTATTAATAATAAAAATCGATTATTTTTTTAAGAAAAATCGATTATTTATTAATCGATTATTCATGCTAAAAATATTATAGATTAATAAAAAATCGATTTTTTTATGCAGAATGTCACATCCCTAATGCTTATACAACGCAGAGGCCTAGGCGGTAGGCCCTAGTTTACCGGGTGAATAACATGTGAATTGTGAATAAGTTATAAGACAAAAATGGCGATTGGCGTCATTTGATCTGATTTCGCGTTTGACAGTATTTTTGACTGTTCAGTTCAAGGAAAGATTTAAGTTAGTAGGTGTTTGTGTAAAATGGATTTTATCGATCAAATGCAAGATTTAGATAATATTGATATGCGGCTAATACATACGATTGAAGATTGGCCGCCTCCAAGGAAAGTCAAAACATAACTCGGTGCAATCCGTTATTACTTTCGGATGGCGATTGTAAAACAAAATACCGCTTTTCAAATAAGTGTGTTATGAAGATCTGTGACGGGTTGGGTGTGAGAGTGATGCACCCGAATCTGATGATACTGATTATGCAGGAGTCTCGGGGACCTTGATTGGATGACCTCGGACGCCCCAAAGCAAACAGGCTGGACAAGCTGCTAGAGCTGCTTTTGTTGAAACATATTTTTGAGGCTGTTTTATTTACATAGGTGTGGATAGTTAAGGCCGTGAAAGAAATAAAAAGTTATATTTCATTTAAAACATGGGTTTTATTTTTTTTATAAGAATATAAGTTATATTTTTAATTTAATTTCTGCTGTAATAATTTGAGCCTCAGAAGATGTTCCTGTCTAGCCCATTCGTGAGCTTCGGCAAGTTGCTTCTGTTTGAGCTCATGGGTTTCCGCCATCTGCTTTAGTTTTGATTCGTGCTCTTCCTGCAAACACTGTAACACTGCAGTGTTGCGGAGTTTGGCACTTTCCACTATTTGAGATGCCTAAAAAATTTAATTATGATCGTTGAGGGCTTTTGAATGAAATAGTCCTTTTCTCTATCACATTAATACCAACCTCACCCAACTTTTGTACCGCAGAACATGGCTTTTTATGAGTAATTTTAGTCCTCTTTGTCTGAGGTTTTGGACTCTCTATTAGCTGCAAATTATAAAATGTTTTTAGTACATTAAGTAAATGTGTATATAATTGTTTTGGTAGTAAAATAATCCAACTTACATTAGAATTATGAGTTGTATCAGAATTATTAGAATCCAAGTTACTAGGTAGGGTAGGTTTTATTTCCTGAAAAAAAAAGGATAATAATTATCTAAATAAGCTATTCGAAATAATTATTCTAAGCAGATACATTGGATATATTTTCATTGCAAATTCACCCCTATTACAACTGACCAGAGTGGATGTGTGTATCCACTGATGTCACGTAGACTGTACCAACAGTGGCACTTACTATTTGGGGTGCATTACTATCGAATTTGTTTTGGTCCACCTCAAACTCCAGTCGCAGCAGTTTCACCAAGTTAATGGTGTCTTCATCTGGACTCGATGGTCTGCTGCCACCACCAGTTTTGTTTTTGGCAATGCGGTGTTCACTCATTATTTTTTTGGCATCCACTTTACTCATTCGCCACTGTTGTTTTAGCTCCACTAATGCCCGTTGTCTTACGTTGAGCTCATTGAACCTGAAAGCAAAGTTTTTTAATATAACTAGTTTAATACCTACATTATAAAGTATATATTAAGAATTACTTAATCAACTCTATTACAAACCTTTCATACACCTTCTGCCAAGCATGATATTTCCGTTTATTTGTATTTGTGTTTGTACATTTGTCTTCTATAATATCGACGTAGTTCGCCAATACCTCCCTCAACAGCTTCTGTAGCGCAAGAATACCATTGAGTAAAGTAAGCCGGGTACATAGATGGGTGGTAAAAAGATAAGACAGCACAAAATATAATGTAATTATAGTATTATGCTAATTGGACAGTATCAATAACAAGTATACATAACATAACTTGACCTACCTTTTCCACAGTTTCCCAGTTAGGGGCTCGCACCCTTTTTACTTTATTTTCTGTACTCATTTAATAATTTGAGGCTTCGACAACACAAAAAAACACGAAAATCAAACGTCAAACAAACACGGCAGTTGCCAGGGTAACAATAAATAAGGGTCGTTTAGTTATTCAACCAATACACATCGATTATTGGTCAAAGAGGTATGCCCTGTACAAGCTCTATTCACTGAATAACTATCACCTTGTTATAACGCATGTATAGTATTTTTTTATTAGTAAGACCGATCGAATATCGATATCACACACAGATCAAGTACAGGTAAAATTGATAAATTTACAAATAAGGAAGACTAATATATAAGTTTATTTTTATCTATGGAAGACAGTCAATAAACAAATTTGCTGGTGTTTCATTTTCACATTATAATATTATTAGTTAACAGAAGCAGATTTAATTTCAAAACAAAACACGAAATTGAATTTACAAAAAACAACAATCAAAAGATTACAACGTTACTTTTACACTTTTAAAATTTACTGTGGGTAGGGTAGTAATACGTCCGTTCCGCACGAAATCTCAAATAAAACTTAAAAGTGAGTCAACGCCGGTTTTGCTTCGCCAATCGCCTTATATAAGTTTCTGCTCAAAGATGACGTCAGTCCGCTAACACTCTCTCAGCTCTCCTGACACCCTGACGTCCTCGTCAGGATTTGATGTCCCAGCGTCTATACTGTCATCTCTTTGGGTAGATTGTGGTGATAAAACATCAGCAATACCTTCCCAGAACGGGAAGGTATTGCGTCGACTATTTGATCAGCAGCTGATCATATTTACTTGGCTTAATACAAATAATCAAAGTAACGAAAGATAGAAAGGAACTTTAAAGTATCGGACTCCAAGGAATGAGTGAAAGATTATTTATAACCCTTACAAGATTTGAAACAAACTATCACTTTCATGTGTGAAGGACTTGTGTAAACAATTACAAGTTTAGTATCACCATAAGAGTAGATATAAGGTATGAAGGTCTACTTATATCTCAAGAAGATCGTGAGTTTAGGTTTAAAGAACTTTATTACTCATAAGAACTTAATACTAGTTCGCTTACAATGAGATACAGTAGGTACTTAATTCTAAAAGTATATAATATTAGTCTCTCTAGGGCGTTGGAAACATTACTGATTGCAAATAATCTTTTAGACCTCCTTTGAAAACATTCATATTTTCGCACAGTTTCAATTCTTCTGGTAAGTTGTTGAACAACTGTGCTCCTTCGAATAATATTGTTGTTTTTCCGTAATTAGTCCGCGGTGTTATAAGTTGAAGATTATTTTTTTTCCTCAAGTGGTTTGTATTTGTTTTTTTATGTAATTTTATATTAGATTGTATGGAATTTGTTATAATTTTCTTTACTAGGATGCATGTGTAGTATATATATAGGGGAAGATCGTAACCTTTCGTACTCGGGGTATTTTCATACAGTCATTAAATAAAAGTTAGGTGATTATAATCAAATAACAGTCTTATAATTTTGTATGTGTGCATGAGTCGAGGTTCGTACTTTACATCACCGAAGTTTCGCGAAATTCGCACCGATTTGAGGTTAAATTACAGGAATAGACGTGTTTCTAAGCGTTCGGTATGTAATTTTTTGATCAATTTTTTTGTCAGTTGTTACCGTAGAGTAAACTCATAAGTTTTTCGTGTAGAGTATTCTATAAGTAACTAGCAAAATATACTTAAGATACGTCTCCAATACTTAATTTATGACGTCTTCCTATTAATATTAAAATTCGTTATATTTTGTTGTTATTCAGTTAGTGGGGTACTTTCGGACAGCACTAGATGGGGCACATTTGAACGAAAATTGTAACACGTTCTAAATTTTTAATAGTGAAAATATTTTGTCGACACGAACTGTCATTTTCATACAAATTAAGTTTTCGACTTGCTACATACACTACTGTTAAGGCATCTTGACTAAACCCTCTGGTAGTAGGAAAGATTGTGTTAGTGTGCTTAATTGCTAATATTTGCATTAACTTTGTCCTGTGTTGCTATCATTGCTATCGTCGATGTAAAATATATTAATACCTATTTTTATTATCTTTATTAAGGTTGATTTTGATGCTTGTGAACCAGATGCTTTGAATA